GGGGGGGGGGTTAAGAGATATCCCCATACTTCCCATGTATGGTAACACCGACTCTTAGGGTGATAAACACGTATGTGTTACTACTAGATAGTAATACATTAATATTGGTTCAGTGTATATACTGGGAGCGAAAGGGCATCGTAAGCCCTTTCACCCCGACACATTTGAACTTGTTTCCGGCTTCTCCTTCAGTGCCCTCAATTGGGCCTTTAGCTCTTTGGTTTTGTCGGATTCAGGCCACAATACCTCCTGTCCCTTAGCACCAGCTGTTTTAGTGGCGTGCTTGTGCCAGACAATCGCGTCTTCTTGGCGCTCTTGCCCCCTTTTGGCTGCCAATCTTTCTCCTCGTTCATGAAAATATTTCATCTTTTTCTTGTGTAATTCCGCTTCGTCCTTGTACCACTCCGCCGATTCAATATAGTTATTTTCGTCGAAATGCGCGGAGGCGATCTTACGATGGAGATCAATCTCTTGTTGTGACGGTGGTGCCTCTTGTTGTGCCGGTGCCCGATTCCATGGCACGATTTTCCGTACACTATCAGTTCGTGAGAATAATCAGTGTCCATCCTCTACGTTTAGAAAGAGCACGCCCAAGCGACTGGTCGCTCTTGTAAAGCTCTTGAAGTGGTCCTTCACCTTTGACAAAGGGGTGGGATTACCAGTGGGCGGTTGCTGTTGTCCTGCGTCTGCGCAGCGTTGCCTAGATTAGAAACACAGTGCGACACTTTCCCCTGCGTCCAGTTGGTTTTCCCAAGCATCCAGGGATGGAATAGGATATGCCGACGATAGGAGAGCGACCAATAAAAATGTAAACAATATTAATGTCTTGATGACGAACATATGAGAGTGTGTCCAGCACTGGTACTTATGAGTAATGATGAAGAATGGGGAAGCGAAAGCCGAGGGAAGGCGAGACCAGCTCGAGTTGACGAGAACGTATCTGCATACAAATGAAACAGTGTCAAGTAGCGATGACGATAGCTGTGAGGCACACTATATATGAGTAGTGAGGGAGCTTATTCATGACCGCCGCGACCAATTCATACTCATCTCCCCCGAACGTATTGCCCCTGGAGGGAATGGCTCATGTGCGATTGAAATCCTCATAATACTTGTCGAAAGCGGCTTCAATCGCAAAGGGGGACGGAAGCCGATGCAAAGGAACGAAGCGACCTATGTGCCCTTGGTGAGGGTGTGGTTTGAATGAGGAGTTGGGGCAGGGTTGAAAACGCTAACGCCGGGAAAGACGGATCTGTTCGGCTATGCGGAAACCACGTGCAAGGAGCAGACGAAAATAGCTCGGTTGGAAGTGCTATGAGGGCTTTTCGGTGTGAAAGTAGTGTTGAAAAGATGCAGGATCGTGCTGTGAGGAAAGATTCGAGGGTGGGAAGATATCGAATGTTTAGGAGAGATGAGGGTGTAACGTGATATCTAATGGATGATGGAAAGATGGCGGATAAGCTGATGGTCATTGGCTTTTACAGCTTTTGATTGGGCGGTGCCACCCCGCTAACATTCCTCACTCCTATAGAACTTGGCGTCTTGGTTGTCAAGAGAAGAGGACACTAGACAAGCTTTTATTTTGTTGATGGAGCTGGAAGAAGTGGATGCACTTGGAATGTTCTACTCCTCCCCTCCTCCGTTGTGACCGGCTATTGAGTAAATAGTCGCTGTGCTGTTACACGTGTTTAATGGCGGGGAAGAGTGTTACGAATAGATCAGTAGACCAGTACGGGCCATGTGGCAATACAGCGTTTGACTTAATTAGCCCGCCCTACTTTCTCTTCTCCTCCTCCTCTTCTTCACCCCTTTCCCTCACCTCTTCCTCACCTTGTCCTCATCCTCTCCTCAACCTTCCACGCCCTGCCCTGTCTATTGGGACGCAGTCATTCATTCCACCCTTTCCTATCGTTTACAACCCCCCAATTCCTCGACATTTCCCTCTTTACCATCCACACGAAGACAATAGTCGACCTTCGCACCTCACACCACCGTAGCACCATCTCTCCGCCTGCACACTAGCACTTGACCGTTCTTGTCCCCAGATTCGAGGGATCATCGTCGACAATCTTCGTTGAACGGCACTCGGAATACACCTTCATTTTCACACGTTCACTTAAATACGCTCATTCTACCTCGACACGACTCTTTCTGCAAGTCGCTCATCCCAAAGGCCCCCCCTCACCGTCTGTCATCGATTGACCGACCAAGCACAGCTAAGCATTCGAAATGCATTTCACAACCCTTCTTACCGTGCTCTCTCTCGCCCTCAGCGGCCTCTCAGCGCCCACCCCAATCGCCCACCATCATCTCCCCGCAAAGCGTCATCAGCTGCTCGCCAAACGTGCAGCCTCAAACGCCGACTGTACCCTCGTCCCACGCAGCGACCACGCCCCTCTGGCAGGACGCGGTGTCCCCTCAGGCCCGCACTTTGTCGCCTACTCCGACGCCTGGGTCTCTCCCATGCCCTCGCCCTCCACCCTCTCAGGCTACACCGTCCTCATCCTCTCCTTCCTCGTCGCTTCCGGTCCGCTCGACATGGCCCAGCAGTGGGCATCCCTCTCCTCCTCCCAGCGTCAGTCCCTCAAGCAGCAGTACAATGATGCCGGAATCAGCGTCATGGTCAGCGCTTTCGGCTCGACCGAGTCACCCACTACCGCAGGGGACGATCCGACCCAGCTGGCGAATACGATGGCCCAATTCGTGCTGGACAACGACCTAGACGGGATCGACATTGACTATGAGGTGCGTTCTGTTGCACTGCGCTAGGCAGGGAAAGGCTGACCAGCTACGCAACGCAGGACTTTGCAGCGATGAACGCAATGGACGGCAGTGCAGAGAACTGGCTTACGACGTTTACCCAAACGCTGAGGCAGAAGCTGCCTCAAGGCCAGTACATCCTCACCCATGCTCGTACGTCCCTTCCCCATACTACTATCACCACCATCCACTAACCCCCACTAGCGGTCGCCCCATGGTTCATCGGCGCCCCGCGGTACAAGTCCGGCGCCTATGCCCAAGTGGACAAGAAGGTCGGCTCCCTCATTGACTGGTACAACGTCCAGTTCTACAACCAGGGTTCGTCCGAGTACACGACCTGCAGCGGGCTGCTGGACCAGTCGAGCTCTGCATGGCCGGGCACAGCGTTGTTCCAGATCGCCGCCGCGGGGGTAGATCAGAACAAGCTGCTCATAGGCAAAGTGGGCAAGCCGACGGACGCGACTAATGGAGGATATATAGACACCAATACCCTCGCCGGGTGCGTTCAGCAGGCGCAGGCAAAGGGCTGGCAGGGGGGTGTGATGGTATGGGAGTTCCCGAGCGCGGATAGTGCTTGGATCACCAGTGTAAGGGCGCAGAGCTGGCCTGTGGGCTCAGGGTCGGGCGGGAATGGAGGCGGGAACGGCGGTTCAGGCTCCAGCTCTAGCTCTTCGACCCCAACGAGCACCTCCAAGCACTCCCATACTTCCGGTGCTGGCGGAACAACGAACGTCGGTTCCACCCCTTCCTCATGCAACAACGTCCCCGCCTGGGACGCGAGCAGCATCTACCTCGTCAACGACAGCGTGTCGTACAACGGGATGACGTATACTGCCAAGTGGTGGACGCAGGGTGACGTGCCGGACCAGAGTGGCCAATGGGGGGTTTGGAAACCCGGGCAGAGCTGTTGAGTAACCAACCGCTTGACATCTTCCTCCCTCTATCCCTCCCCTCCTCGTTGGCGTCCTCCATCTGCTCTCATCTTCTGTCATCCTCCTGGCTGCAGGCACGGTTTTTTTTCGGTTTCTCATCGGCATGCGAGGGCCTGGTTGCCCGCACCCGATCGGCTCTTGACACAGCGTCACGTCCAAACATGCACATATCTCACGGTACACTCGATCTATCTCAACTCAACTCGGCTCTCGACTCTCGGCTTCCGACTCTCGACTCGTGGATCACCTACCCGGATATCGAATACCCCGGGTCTCTGTACTGCGTACAGGAGCAGGTGGTATTCCCCGGTCCATCTTCCCTCTTCCTTTTTGCTGGTCTCTACTATCTTTGTCACTGGTTGTCACTGTTAGCTTGTATGTATATCCTGGGGTTTGCTAGGTTTGGGCCGGTGCCTGCTGGAAACGACTTGCGTTTATTGGTATACTTCATGTGTGAGCTTCAGGAACGGAATACGTGCGATGACGGCCTGAGTCTTACCCCGCTCTCCCGTGTCTTCAGATCGGGAGAACATCTGACCACCTCGTACACAGTTGCAGGAGGTTCAACCTAACCTAGGTGATGTGTAAGCGTGAAGCAGGAAGGGGGAGCGGTTCCGGTAAATTGATACCTGAGTTCCTGTTGGGACTAAGTGTGGTTCCCATTTTGACATCTACTCGGACAGAAGCTGGAGCAAAGCTTCCCGTTCGTTGTCCTTCAGACAGATGCTCCAACCTCGATTCTTCCCTTTGGTCTCCTTCTGTTGCCCGCTCAACATCTCCGGCGGATCAGCACGCCTCAGCTTCGGATAGGCAATTCCTTTCTGCCTAGCTTCGATATCATTGGTAAAAAAAACTCCTCTTCCCAGCTGCGGGAGCGCTTGCTGGCACGAACCTGAGTCTCACGAGCATCATGTGCCGTTTGGAGGCTCCCTTATCCATTTGCAAGCTAATAAGGTTTGCCTCGGTGAAGATCTTAGTTTTTTTCTCCAGCCGCATTATTGCTTTCACAGCCACGTTCTGCTGAACTTGTGTTATGCCAAGCGCCAAATCATGAAGCAAACAACCTGCCTCTTGCCTTTAACGCGTTTCGGAAGGCCAACCCGGACAAGATTAGCTCGGTCCGCCATCTCTGATATTTGGGACTTCTCCTCGGCTGTAATGCCGGCTACTACGCGGGGTGGGCGCAGGCCGGGCTTACGTTAGGAAATAGCTCCAGGTTAATGGAATTAGCATTGATGTGAGCGGAAAAATCCACATGCAACCTCCCCGAGCGACTAATAGTGCCAGGAAACTGGTACATTGGTGAGCTGGTTATCCCGACACCCCTTATATATGGCAAACAAGGATAGACTGGCTTAAATGGCGTCTCGAAGTAGTACCTGTCCCTTACTGCCCGCAGTCTAAACAACGCGCAAGGCTAAATTCGGCGGCGCGGACGGCCTCCTGGCCGCATGGACATTGAGTGGAGACGGAAGACCGTTCAGCCCATGTGCTGTTGTATCTATCGCTATCTATCTACATGATCGTATCAATATCAACCCCTATCGTGCAAGGTTGGCAAGGGCATGACTACAATGATCTCATTACCCCGGGTACATATATTAAAGGCCATGGACCGTCGTGAAGATCGCCGAACCTGTTCTCTCCATTGTCTAGTCGATGGCACTCCGTTTCACTCTCCTTTCTCGCAACTTACTGAGGAATCGATATTGCGGCGACATTTGGCGCCCCTCGACCCAATTGGGATGGCGGCGACATCTTGCCACCGTTTCGACGGCGGTTGCTCGGACCTCGGAAAGTCAGCTTTCCCCACAGATTGAGCAGGCGACTTCGCGGAATAACTCGAACAGCACGACTCTCCCGGCATCCTGGTATCGAAGCGACAAGCTCTGCGAATTAGAGAAACGAGCAATCTATTCCAACTCGTGGTTCATGACCACCCATACGGCGGCGTTTACCAAACCGGGGGACTACCGAGTGTTCGATCTGGCAGGACAATCGATCTTCCTAGTCATGGGCCACGATGGAGAGATCCGCGGATTTCATAACGTTTGCCGGCATCGGGCGTATCCTTTGCGGACACAGCCGGCAGGATGTTCCAGCGTGATCAGCTGTGGCTATCATGCCTGGACTTGGAACCTGGAAGGCGGACTCATCAGGGCACCACAGTTCAAGGACGTACCTAATTTCAACAAGAGCGATCAAAGTCTCTGGTCCGTCCATGTGCATATCACACGGGGTGGCTGTATATTCGTCAACTTAGAAGCCTCAGAGGTACCAAGCATGTCCTTCCAACAATTCTTTCCGGGCCTGGAAGAACTGCTGGATGACGTCGATTTTGCCCGATTTAAGCTGTGAGAGCAGCAGTGACTTGGTAGAGTTTAATTGATGCTGAAGCAGACGAAAGACTTTGACTCACACGGGTCCATTTGGCTGGAAGGCTAGTGCTTTATCCGCTGCGGAGCCCACTTTCACTCACAGTTTGGCGATAGACAAGAATCGATGGCTTCCAAGAATGTGAGAATGACCCTTGCATTCCAGTGACGCAATTGAAATACTGTTAGGCTACCACTGTCAAGTCGCTCATCCCAGCCTGGCAAAGAGTTTCGACATTAACAATTACTCACTGATGAACCATCCTACTTATACGCAGCATGTCGCTATACCCTCCTCCAACGCCAAAGATGCATACGGAAACAGTAACGCGCTTTTCCTATACTTGTATCCAAGCAGTGCCATCAATTGCTTCGAGACTGGGTGGCAGACTTCTTTCACATCGCCCATAGACGCACGAACGTGCCGTGTATCGATGGAATACTGGGTTGACAAGAGCCTGAGCGAGCAAGAGAAGGAAGACTTTGTGAAGAGCTTCTACCAAGTATTTAAAGAGGTAAAATCAGCCAAAAAGACAAGGTCTTCTTCCCTGAGGTTTCCACCAGGATTGCGACCTCTGCGAGAAAGTGCAGAAGAACGTCGATGCAGGAGTATACTCCAAGGGCGTGCTCCATCCGACCCACGAAAGCGGTGTTCTTGGTAAATACCAATCCGTGTTTAGCTGCTCAGCCTATCTCATGCTGTTATGCAGCATATCAAGCTCGAACAAGAGAACTGGTGCTGCAACATGCGGCTCTTGAGGAGAGTGTTGGACATGAAATCAATCCTTCAAACCGGGTTGACCAGAGCACGGGTGTTATGGATCGCCCCGAGGATAGGCTGTGCGCACGTTTGGAGCATCGGGAATGGAGATTAGGTAACAAGGTCTAAATGGGGCAGTTTGTTCAGGGCAGACCCCATTACGTAATCCGTCAGGAGTGGCGATTCGTTGCAAGTTGTGGAGGCCCAACCCGGATTGGACTCTCACCGATCATGTCAATGTAGATATTATCCTTGGTACTACCTTAGCTCTGTGGAAACTTCACTTGATACTGGCTCAAACAATGCCAAACACACTCTCAATTACTCCTGTGACGGTGCTTACGTCGGGCATGGCAGTACCAGCCATCGCGCTTGAAGTATTGCCATATGGTTTGCACATCACCAAGATCCTCCTCAACGCGGATGGGCGATCGAACGATGTCATTATCGCTCCATTCTCTGCTCGCGAACTTGTTAGTGATCGGCGGATGATGAACTCTGTTGTTGGGAGGTATACAAATAGGCTCCCTGTTGGAAAATACGAGATTGAAAAGGGCGGCGTGACTGCGACCGTGACGCCCATTGCCAACTCACGTGCGCTGGTTTTCTTTCGCATGAAAAGACATGTGCTAAGGAGGGAACAGGATTGCCTCACGTGTCCCTGCACAGCGGTCCAGAGGGTTTCGACCGCAAGAACTGGACGCGCGTGGCGACGAACAAAGCAAAGAACTTCTCCAGCGCTGAGAAAGTCCTACTCGGGAAGCTCGACGACGAGAGCGTCGCTATCTTCAGTCTGATCAGCGAAGATGGAGACGCAGGATTTCCCGGGACACTGTACACTGAAGTAGCTTTTGCTGTTCTCCCCGTGCCGGAGGAGAAGATCCGCAAGACCGGGGACATCGAGCTGGGCAGTCTCGCAATCGTCTACCGCGCTCGCCTCCTTCCTGGTGGTGCTACCATCACGCCAATCAACTTAACCCACCATTGGGGATTCAACTTCAGCGCATCCTTGGATCCCAAGACGGAGCCGGACGCGAACCAACATTGGCTGAGGGCTGATTCGTCCAAGCGGCTCGAACTCGGGCCCGACCTGATGCCGACCGGCGAATACTCGCAGAATGAGCTGGACACCGAATGGGACTGGAAGTCGGGCAAACTCATTGGTGAAAAACCGCTGCCCCGATTGGATGGTTTCCTTGTCTTCGACCGGCCTCGAGCTGAACAGCAGCCGGTGCACGTCCCATTATCACAGTGGGAGAACGGGAACCTCCTCCAAGAGGCGTTGGACGAGAAGCGTGAGAAAGCGTATGTGCCGATCGAGCTTTATGAGGAGGCATCCGGCGTACGGGCAGAGTTCATTACGAATCGTAGGTAACGGTCATCACAAGTACTCGTATCCTGATTTTCGGTCAGAGCCGGGTGTGCAGCTCTACGGCGGAGAAGGTTTGCAAGGACAGGGGACGAAGAAGGCCATACATGGAGGGAAAGCGGACGGATCTGGGTACACTGGCCGTCCTGGTGTATTCCTCGAGTTCCACGAGCCAGTCAACGCGTTGTTCAGCGAGTTTGGTAAGGAAGAGGGCGCAGACACAATATTATCTTCGGGTGAGATGTACAACAATTATGTCAATGTTGTGTTTTGGTACGTTGTTCATCAGTGGCCTGTCATTGTTTCTGATCCACTGTGTTACAGTTATCAGCCGAGGCCGTGAGTGTTCAACATAGATGTATTGCACATGTACGTTGTGGATATCAGTGCTTCACATTGAACAATCGACCATCTTCCGATCACATACGATGGATTCTGAAACGCACACGCCCAACATGCCCGGTATGCTGAGAGGATATTACATCGACGGAAGTTACCTGCCGAGACTGTGCGATGAACTGTGGGAAGAGAAGGAATATGGCAACTCCACATGGACGGCAGGAAACGAAGGAAGCTAATCCACATAGATCGGTGACTCGTGCTCCCCTTTGCGCGCCTTTCCCGAGTCAATTTTCACCTGATTGCCTTTTGCCAAGCGCCGAGAGGAGCGGAATACCCCTATCAGAGGCAACCTTGACACCAAGTCCCAAGCGCCGTTCCCCTTGACGACCTTTGCTGGTCGTGAAACGGACTGGTATGCTACCCTATCCGCTCCCGCGATTATTCTCAGGGCCCTGACAGCTGCTTCTGTTCGAAAATTCTATGCACATTTCCGAACATTGGCACGTCCTCTGGAGGGCGCGTTGTTGCAGAAAGCAAGACAACAAGATATGGACCCCGGGGGGAACAGCAAAACCGCTGGCGCCTTTTGAATCACAGCGTTCTGTATTTTCATCCCCCATCCCTCCTTTTTCCTCTTCGTTCACCATCCTTTCGGTGTTTAGACGCTCTTCGTCCCCCTTCCCAACTAGATTATTCCTACCCTCACGCACTTCAGCACAATGAAGGCCACTTTCGTTCTTTCCACCCTCGTCTCTGCCCTCCTCTTCGCTGAGGCCCACAGCCTGAAGCAGGCTTCCGCGCGCGACGTCGCTGCCCACGAGAGGTTTGCCGACCTTATTGCGCGCCATCCTACCCCCTCTACTGCCCCTTGCGTTTGCCCCGATGGAACTCCTTGCAAGCACTCTTGCGGCTCCGACTGCGGCCAGAACGGTCAAGGTCAGAACCAGAACCGCCGTAGCGAGAAGCGCGATCTGTGGATCCTCGAGACCGACTTTTCCGGCGAGGTCTACCCCGCCAACGTCATTGCCGGCCTGATCAAGGGCGATGGTGTCTTCACCCACACCAACGGCTCTACCGTCACCGACTGGGAGTACAAGATCAACTCCGAGGCCAACCGTCTCACGTTCTGGAAGAACCGCCGTGCTGGCTCCGGTATGCTCGAGAGGATCAAGAGGGGCTTCATCCAGTTCTCTGCTCCTTACCTCTCCAAGGTGATAATCCTCGACGCCTGCACATTACGGGTGGTTGTTGACGGACTTGGTTTTCTAGGTCATCGCCATCTACTTCGAGGATCCCGACAAGGTTTTCATGCTCTCTGACAACTCCGGTGTCAAGAACAAGGACGTGATCCGCATGGCCAAGCACCTCCTCGCTGACAAGGAGCAGAACGAGTTCATGATCTGGCACCACGTGTAAGTTGTAACCCTCGTCTGAAGTATATTGGGGCTGACTGGTGTGTTCTAGCATTGACCGCCCGACCATGGAGGCCGTCGTCTCCACCCTGTGCCCCCGTCTCGGCCCGCAGTACTGCGAGAACTAAACGTTCGCGCTCGGCTGACCTTCTCGTTTCTTTTTGGGCTTTTAGTAAACCGCTTCTTCGTGTCCCTTCAGCCGTTCCGCTCCTCCCCAGCCAGCGCCACTCTTTCCGCTGGTCTGGCCAGGCTGCGACTCAGTTGTATACCCCGCGCGTCCAAGCTTCTTTGTCATTTTCTCCACAATATCGCTACCAAGATCTACTACGAGTCACACTGTGAAACCACTTGTGTATCCCGTGTCTGAAACGTCCATCGGAGGGAGGAGGAGGTCTCACGGGATCGGATAAATCCTTTGTAGCACATCCCTTTGCTTTCAATCACGTTGTTGTTGTTACCAAAAACATTCTGAATAGATTGCATGATCTGTTTGGAGCACTTGCGTCTGTGAATGTGACTAGCGTGCGCTTTGGGAAGTGTTAGCGGAAAGAACGGCGAATAAACTTGGTTCCGTGTACAAAGTTACTTTTTCTTGTTCCCTGCCAGTGACTCTGGTCACCATCCATACCACCTCTCGACGATGGCCACGCCAGGCCCGTCGACGTCGCACATACCATCAATGAGCTCTCCAACGCCATCATCCAGCGCATCCTCCTCAGCGCCAACAGCAGCAGTCTCCGAAACCTCAGGCATCCGCGCAGTCCTCCGATACAGCGGCATTCCGCCCTCCCTCCTACGCGTCCCAAAATTTCGTCTCCCATCACGCAACTGGCTCATCTTTCTTGGCGTCTCCGGCTCCCTCGCCAGCCTATTTATTTATGACAGGAGGGAGTGCAAGCGTATCAGAAGGGAGGCGTGTGAGCAGGTGCGGTGGATGGCCGACTTGCCCCTCGACCCTCAGGCGACCGTCAAGTGCATCAAGGTGCTGGCAGCCAAGCAGCCGGGAGATGACGAGAGTGCTAAGGGGATGTTGTATTTCCGAAAATGGGTCAAAGTGCATTTTATTCTGCATATCGTGCTTGGTGTGTCAATGCTAATGCACTGCGCGAACAGCCGATCCTCGTTGCCGCTGCTGTGGACTACGACATGATCGTCGGCGAGCGACACGGGTCTATCACGAACCTCGTGTCAAAAGAGATCCAGCACAAACGGCTGATTCGCGCCGGGTTTTTGCAACCAGATGCAGGCCCTACGCCTTCTCAGTCCGCACAAGCCCGGCAGGAACGCGAGCTGCAGGGCGGGGTGGTACTCGTCGGGCGGGCGACGTTTAAAGAGTACCTCGAGGGGCTGAAGCGGGGCTATGGCGAGCCTGCCAGCTTAGGGCGGGGAGGGAGAGAGAGGGGAGAAGATGAGGAAGACGCGCTTGTATCTAAGGCGCTCGAGGGGGATGGGGTATTCGACGAGCCCCATATGGCCGACTCTACCTCATCGGACAGCGATTCAACTATCGGAACGCCTCAGCCTGTTTCCCCCCAACTTCAGTCCTTCCGCAATCCCCTCCTGCCTTCGTTCGAACTTCGCCCCTTGGCCCGCCTCTCCCCTTCACCGTCGGTCGTCCTTCCCCCAGAGACCTCTCTGCCCCCGCAACCTGCGCTCCTCTTGCTCCCTTTCCGCAACCTCGTCGGCATCTCTCTCATCCCGCGCCAGATCTGGGGTTTCTTCAACAGGCGGTACTACGCCAAGAGCGGGGCAGAGAGCGCGCTCATCTTGTTGAAGGGCGCGACGCGACCTTTTGACCCTGAGACGGACTTGGAGTTTGGGAAGGACGCGGAGGGCTTTTGGCCGGGCAAGTTTGACAAAGTTGACGAAGAGGTCGCTAAACGTAAGGCGGAGTACTACAAGGAGTTGACAAAAAAGCTGGCTACAGCGCGGGAGCTAGCGAATGGCACGCACAAGCCTACCAAAGAGGAGGAACGGAACCCGCCCAAGACGGAGCAGGAGCTAAGGCAGGAGAGGTTCGATAAGGAGAAAAGGTGGAAACGGGAGCTGGAGGGATGGGAGGTGGTGAAGAGGAGCAAAAGGCCGGCTTGGGAACAGGGATGGGAGGAGCAGATGAGAGTTTTTGAGCAGGAGGGTGTGAGGGGGGCTATTTAGTTAGTATACACACTACCTTGGTTGAATAACGTAGTAAACTGCATTATTGACTGTTGTGAATATTATATTACCGCAATTTTCTTCCAACAAGTAGTCCCTGAGATCACTCTTCTTGCATCTAAACTCCTCACTTACCCTCCTACTAGTCCTACGTATTGCACACAATGTCCCGCCCTCAGCCAGAAGTGATCATGTCTGTACGTCCTGACCATTCCCCATATCTCATCCGCACCGGCTCAACCATATGGTGACAGTTTCAAGACGGCGGGTTCTACAGTCAACAAGCACTCGTCGCCGGCCTGACAGCGGTCGAGAAATCCTACGCTGAGTGGAAGGCCCGCCCGAAGCCTGTTCAGCCAGGAGCGGATATCAAACTTGTAAAAGAGGATGTGGAATTAGTCGTGAGTGCTCCATAGCTCCTTTCTTTGTGCTGCGAGCTGCAGACACGGAGCATCCAAGCTGATTACGCCTAGATGTCAGAATTGGACTATACGAAAGCTCAGGCTGAGAAGGCACTCCGCGAGCACGGAGGGAGCGTCGAGAAGGTGTTCGAGGAGTATGTAAAGCCGGCCAAGATGAAGGAGCCACATCGGTATTAGCTTTGTGGGGTGGGGGAGAGGACAGCATGCACGAGAGCAGAACCGGGGATGGTCCTGAGACGAACGATAGTGCGCTCTGGAAGAGTGTTGACATGATGTATTTCTATCATATCGAGTATCTAAATGGTATCATCTCCCTGCTATCCACACCAGCTGCGATACGTCAAAACCTTTCACTACTGCAAACCAAAGTCAGCATCATCCTCAGCCTCGCATCTGATCCGAACAAAGAAGAAAAGGAGCAGAAAAATACCCTCAGCCTCGCCTTCCATAGCCTCATCCGCACCCAACCAGCCCGCCATAAGCCCCTAGGGCGCGAATGGGGGCTGGGGAAGATTTGGCCTCCCGAGCTGAGCAAGGGAGGTGGGTGCGTGCGGGTTACCAGAGTTCACATCAGAGGGTTTGTATGAAAGAGATGACATTGAACAAAGTGGTTGGTGGTACTCACTAGGGGGAGACCTTGGGATACGATATCAATTGAGGAGTAGAGTGTTGGATAGAGAGAGATGTACGCCAACCACCAGGTGATCCGGCTTCCTCGCCCTCGACCCCTTAAGGAAGAGCTCAGCAAAGGATTGTTTTTGTGGAGCGTTTATATAGTTGATATTGGCGCTCTGTCTGGACCAGATTAACTGTAATAATGTGCGATGCACCAGTTGACTGGCAATTGGAACGCCGTGGTTGAAGAGCAAGGGCTCGAGGAGGTAGGGAATTTTATACTTTCTGCAAGCGTTTAGGGCCGGCTGCACGACCCTATTACTTGAATACTTCAGCGATTTGCTTCTCATCGTTGGCCTGGATGTGAATGCCCGCCTATGCCACCCGTTCCTCTCATCCTTCAACATTCGAAGCCCTCTTTCGTCGCTCGAAATTCGCATCTCACACGCCGTCCATCGCCCAAGTTTACACGGCGCCTACCGCTTCCCGCGCAAGAGGTGACTTTGGGTTTAAACATCCTTTTCCTACCGGACGTAGAGCACTTAGAGCGCAGTATGTGACTGTGCAGCGTGCGGACGGGTACTGGGGAGGGATGCTCTGGGCGAGTGGGGAGACGAGGGCGAGATGGGTTAGTCAGATGGAGGAGCTGGACGCTGTCGTCGAGCCGGATATCTCAAATGGAAGCACAGGGAGAGCGCAGAATGATGAGTGGTACGAGGAGAGCGAGTTTACTCGAGCGCTGGATGCTTCTACGCACTCGAGGTCTTCGTTCGATCCCAACAGCCTGGGTGGTACACGCTCGAGCCTCCTGGGTGAAGAAAGACCGTACAAGAACTGGGATAGGCTGGGAAGGAAAGCATTTGAGCGTTGGCTAAGAGAAGTACGCGGCTTGCAGGGGGAGTTTAGGCGTTGGGTGCTTGATAGGAGAAAAGAGCAGCTGTTTGCTCTACAAGCTGGAGAAAACCCCAAGCTCTCCGACCCCGCTGGACAGTCCGACATCCTGCCCAACACGCACAGACCGCCAACTAACAGCCACATCGCTCTCGACACTTACTACCACAAAGACCCCGCAGACGACTTCTACCCCCTCGCCCAATCCCCCTCCGCCCTTGTAGAAATGGACCATTTCTTCGCAACCCGCCCTCCTCCCACCTCTCCAGCCCACCTCCTCGCCATTCCCCACCCGGTTTCCGGCCTAGCCTATGCCCGCCCATCCCGACTGCAAGTGTTCCTCAACACAAAGCCTCAGCGAGGCGTCGTACTAGGCGAGCTTCCCGCGGAGCCGTCTATCTCTCCAGCCGTGGGACGCAGGAGGAGAGGAGAGGATGGAGATACAACGTTCCTCGTCGGTTTGCGGGGACATGCAGCCCGCGTAAGCAGGCGACATTCCGGCGGACGGATCGCCCCTTTCCTCTACCAGGGGAGGGATCCCCTGCGGAACGAACCCCGTTTCCGTATCTGGCAGAGCACGCTCCTCCGCCCGCCTGAGGTTGTCCGGCCACAAGACGTGGGCATGGGGTTGTACAGCCGTGGGGAGGAGAGGGAGGTAGGTGTGCTGAGGATGGAGCTGCGCGAGGTTTGGCAGGGTGAGAAACTGCGTTTCTGGGAACGACCTGGCTCGCCTGGCTGGGTAGCGAACGATCAACGCACGTCGGAGTTCTTCTCCCTTCGCTCGACGAATCCTCCGCTTGGCCAGGAGTTGGATGTCGGTGGTGATGGGATTGCGGAACGTCAGAAGGTGGAGAGCGCTAAGGAGGCCAAGGAGCGGGAGGGAAGGGAAAAAAGGGAGAAGAGGAGGGAAAAAGCAGCGAAGATGTTGAATGATGTGGGGGCTTTGTTGGGCATTTAGAAGTGGTTGAACATGATCAAATATCACTGTATTATACCATTTCTCTCTATCAATGGATGGGATTTGACATTTATCTCTGTTGTACATTTTCTGTTTTCAAGGTAAGAAAAGCAGATGCGCTCTTGCTTTTTCCAAGAAGCAGGTGTCTGGGGTCCGTTTTATTCAGGGTCCCTTTCGCAAAAGGTGGAAAAAGACACTTCGACATCGTCTTACACCTCGACCTCACCGTCCTCGACGTCCCGCTCGCCGTGCACAATGGCGAGCACAATGGCGTCAACGTCCGCAACTCGCAGTCCATCAGGGTTCGCGTCTCTCCTCCGCCGCTCCAAATTCGCATCCTACGACCCCGCCATCGGCCAAGTGTACACCGCTCCTCACGCACACCGTGTCCGCGGTACCTTCGGGTTCAAGCGCCAGCTCCCCCACGGTCCCAAGGGTCTCAAGCTGCAATATGTCAATATGAATGCACCGGACACCGCCTGGAACGTCATGTTCTGGAGTTCTGGGGAGCGCGGTGCTCGGTGGATGAATACGATGGACGAACTGCGCCCTCCGTTCCTCCCCGCCAATGACGGGATTGACTCGACTAGAGATGGGTGGAACACTTGGATGGACCAGACGCGGCCGAAAGATCGACAGACGTGGTACGACGACACCGAGTTTACCAAGGCTCTTAAAGCCGGCCATTCCCAGGGCCGGGGATCGAAGGCACTTGACCTGGATCCGCTCGATGGGGTACTCCCGACTAGGAAGCAGGACAATGAAGTGTTCCCGAGCACTAATTGGCATAGGCTAGGGAGGAAGGAAATGCGGAAGTTCTTGCAGGATGTGAGGGGCCTCAGCGAGGACTTCAAGGCGTGGATCGTACAAAAGCACAGGGAAGGCAGTCTGAACCTCTTGGATGAAAATATGAAGGCAGACAGAGCCAGCAAAAACAGCAAAGCTGTTCTTCTGGATAACGATGTCGTCTTCTTCGAGTTGATGCACGCCCCTAACGCCCCCCTGCTCTTCTTCGAATTCTTGAAGGAGCGGCGCTCCCCTGACTGGACCGAACAGCTCATTCCCGCCCCACACCCTACGGCCGGACTGTCGTACCACCGGCCATCCACACTCCAAGCATTCCTCGATCATCCACCGATAAATGGCCACATCCTCGGCGAGAGGCAGACCGGAGGGAGGGGCCGCAAACGCGATACAGCGGACAACTCCGTGCTCGTGGGCGTCGCTGGGCATGTGGCCAAATTAGAGGAATTCGAGCAAGGTTCGAGGGCAAAGGCGATGCAGAAGTTGTCGGACGACCCCGAGCTCGGCAGAGGCCAATTCCGCATCTGGAACACCGTGCTAATAACGCCGCCGGAAACCTCGGCCTCAAAGCGCGGCTCGCTCAAATGGGAGGATATCCGGGGATCCCGGGTCAGCATCGAACTTCGCGAGATGATTCCCGGCGTGGACGCGCTCGAAAATAAGAGCCTGCCGGGTTCGCCGAAGTATGTCAGCGAGAGCCTCAGTGACCTGCGGGTGAGAGGTATGACTGGCCAGCTTCGCCCAGCGACGAACAAGGAGAAGATCACTTCGAGTTTCTCTCTCAAAGAACCCTCGGGGTCCCAACTCGTCGATACCCTGGACAGGCTCCTTGATAAAACAGCTACCACACCACGCACGGGCTGAAGGAAGACGGCAAGCCGGGCGAGCACGAGGGATAGTGATATGCATGCATGCAGTGCTTGTATCTCTTCGTTAACACCATAACCCTAACTAGTGTAAATGGTTAAAGCACATCAGGACAACTCTCGCCTCTTATGAGGTAATGATTCACCGGATCCTTAACCCTGAAAGGGAGCGTTACTGCTGATCTCTCCGATCAAGGAAGAGCTCTTGTAGACAGACCCACAGCACGTGAATCGAAGTGTCTGTTTTGTGCGTGTATGGTAAAGGGTATGTGCTAGATACAGGTGGAAACGTCGTTCCGGTGATAAGATCCGTAAGAGATGTGGAGATGGTAGGTATATCGTGAGATATCCGGGGGATAGAGGGATTGGGGGAATAAAACGATCAGGAAACAGGTATTAAACTGGATTAAACTGGCCCAATAGAATGCGACGGTCCTCCTTGTTGTGGCCTTCCTCCTACGCCACTCCTAGAAGCCAACCCCTGTCCTGAACAACACGGTGTACATGCTCCGCGGTCACATTGTCTTCCGGTCGAAGGACAAGCGTGTTCAACGCGGGCAGATCCAGCTCTCGTAAGAAGCGCGCATCGGCAGCGTCATCGGTAATGTCGATAGTGAGAGTTGCCAACTCGAGAAGACAGATAGTGGATGTTCGACCATTCGGACTTGCCGGGGTCGGCCCCTCGTGGTCGAGTGCGGGAAGGGTGAGCTCTACCAACCCCCGTAGGCCTTGCAAGAACAGTCTAAGCTGTGTAATCGGTGGTCGTTGGCCAAGCTGTAGAACCAAACTTTTGAGAGACGGTATCGGCTTCGGGAGCACGAGATCAACGTGGCTCTGCAAGCTGAGACGTTGTAGATTGTTCGAGCCTGCAAGAAGTCGACTCAGCAGCAGGTCGAACTTCGGGCTGGCCTTCATTCCTGTTTTCCAGTCGATCGCGCGCAGCTTCGGGCAGTGTGCTCCGTCGAGCCCGTCTACGAGCCTGTCGAGGATGGGTGCTGTCCAGAGTTGGTCACGTACATCGAGCTCGAGTGTACCCCAGAGATGTTGCCTGGAAAGAGCGAGATCGAGCAGTCGGTAGTCGGGCCCGGTGATCGAGGACGAGGCGACGCTGTCGCTCAGTTCGTACGTCAGGTGTAGACGAAGTTCACTTGCTTTCGCTCGTTGGAAGGCCACTGTCGTGGTGTTGACGAAACCTTCCGTGTAGGAGGGTCGGACTGGTATGGTGATTTCGGACCAGAGGGAGGGGCAGGAAAGAGCGCAGTTTCGCCAGTAGAAGCACACTTGGGAAAGCGTGATTCTTGCGGATGGGTGGGATAAGACGACATGATGGAATATATTTTGGAGGATCTCGGGTGGGAAGTTTTGCACGCGAAGAGGCGAGAAAGATGAGGTTGGAATAGAGGCAAAAATAGGGAGAGATGGTGGGTCGGGGAGGTAAGAAGCAAGCCGCATGAGACGAATTTGCTTTTCTCGCAGCTGTGATGATAGAGCGTCCATTTGTCGACGTAGATCTTCGATCTCTGCTGCCAGCATCGTCCGTTCGGTTTCTGACGTGTGGTCGACAGTAGGCGGCATAGTCACAGAGCGGATGGGGATAGGAAGAGGATTAGCTTCAATTTTGACTACGTCGACGAGTTGAGGAGTCTTCCCCAGAGACCTTATAGGAAGAAAAGCAAGGGCAGTCCTCATGTAGGCGGGCAGGCTCGCAGCCCTCGTTCGTGTGCGGGGCATGGCAGTAGATCCTTGCGTCGAGGCCATGGAGCGTAGATGTAGCCCTCGGAGAAGAAGAGGAACAGGGGCCCACCCGCCGGAGGCCGCGAGATTTATACCACAGCTGAGGCCTAAGCCGCACTAGGTGCGAAGTTTTACACTCCAACACCTTGCCTCGTGTCGGTCGCACTCGGTATCCGAATCTAGCGGGGTAAGAGCGGGCTTAGTGCAGACAGGTCGTCGGTGCCCTGAAGGAAGATGCGAAGATTCCAAGATGCTCCGGCACGTTCCTCAGTGATCAGCGATGAGCGTGTGTGGGACGGATGGCGCAAGACGCAAAGGGCGTGTAGGACACGGATACGTACATGCCTCATGTCGCGGTCCTAGCACGCAGAATGGATTCGCATCACATGGTCATTGGCAGTGCGTTCCGCTGTAATACATTTCCATAGTCAAATACGAGCGCTCGTGAGATACAATGGGATATATACATTGGCAGGATAAGCAGAAGCTGTCAAACGTTGGCGCATCCCCGTCGGGCCGAAGATGTGCGGCAACGGGATGACGAAAAGTGCGGCGTTGTGCGGCGTTAGAGAACAGAGAAGGTGAAAGGGAACAGGTCAAAGCTGATCTCATCTCGTACTGTCATTAACCACAAAGAAAAGCGCCAAAAAATTACTGTATGTACGAAGCTTAATCTCACAGCGCCGGCCGAAAACAGGCCTGCGAAAAACGGGCAAGGGAGGGAGAGGTGCCGAGCGCCGAGCTTCGGCCGAGGACATGTGAAGAGCACTAGCAGTGAGCGCAACAACTTTTTTTTCAAATTGGCTTCGGGTTGCCAGCTGTTTGGACGTGCTTGCGACCGATACGCGTGTTTTTCCCTTGCCCAATGCCGTGGATCTGGTATGTCGATGCAAGCAGGTGAATACATTCGTCGTATGAGATAGGCAGAACTCGGGCGGGGCGAGGTTGATCTAGCCCCAAAGGGAATTCTCAACTCCAACAACCTGTGTTCAAATTCGAGATGTATCAGAACACATCACATGCCCGAACAGAACGTAGGCACAGATCGGAACAGGCTGTTTGTTGTTTGCTGTACCGCGATCAAGGGCCAAGGGGGCAAAAAAATTAGTCGCTGTCCGCATAATCTGATCATTCCGTAGCCTAGCAAGCGTACGTCTGGTATCATCAACTCGTCATCTTAGGTAACAAGGGGTCGGTGTAAGTAGGAGAAAGAACGGTCAATAAGAGCAAGAGGGGATAATAAAGTGAAGTTGCAGAAACAAAGTCTGGGCAGAATGAGGATGGGGATGAAGCTGAGGATGAGGATGAATGAGGATGGGGATGCGGGTGCGCCGTCTGACCGAAACTGTCCGTTACGTACAAACGCATGCACACATACTGTCCGTACAATACGCCTGTCCAAGCCCCTCCCCCGGCGTTTTCACGATTTGATTTGCAAAATCTGTTGGTTTCCCCCGCCTGGCCGCGGTCGTGTTGCGCATGAAGTCTATTAATTCGGTGGATGCGAGGGGCACGGGAAGGTGATGGTGGTGTTGACCGTGCAGGTGGGCATAAGCGGGCAATAGGACGCGACAAGTCTGGAACACGGAACATGAAACATGGACACGGAACATGAAGCATGAAGCATGGCGAGAAGAAAAGGCAAGTTGAAGTTGAAGTTGAAGTAATAGACAATTGTTGCAAGCTAGGTGGGATCGAGTCGAACGTTGAGTGTCGAGCGTTAAGTGTCGGGGGTTGAGGTTGAAAAAACGGCAAATGCACATAGAGACGGAGGATCATTAGTCCCTGTCGACGTAGGATGGGCGGCAGGGTGGCGAGGGGGTTCGGGGTTCGGGGTGGGTAGGTGCGGTAGAGAGGGAAGAATGTGCGGAGGGCGAAAGACAAGGTGGCAAAACCTGCGAGGTTGAGGTTGAGGTGTTCATTTCACATGTTGTCGTCCCGCTCCTGCACGGACAAGCAGGGGTATCAGACCGAGCAGCAGGGGCTTCTCGGGCGAGAGCAGGGCATGTCGCTCCCGATCCGGACCGGGTGGTCATACGACCAACTCGACTTCTTCCCTCACGACTTCCACTCCAAGCACCTCCATCTCCATCTTATCCTTCCCCCCTCCCAGCCCCACGCCCCCCAGCCCCACGCCCCCCAGCCTCACCCCCCCGCCCACCCTCACCCCGCTCATAACCCCCTCCTCGACCACCCCCACCCCCAGTACCACATCCCTCTCCAAAACCGCCTGCACCGTCGGCTTGGCAGAAACGGTGTACATGAGTTTATTCGTCCACACATGCCTGAACTGCGCTACGATGAGCGGTGCGACTCCAAACGCGAGCCCGCAGGGGATAGCGACAAAGTCTAGCATGCACCAGGGAAGGTGCCTGCGCGATGTTTGGTGTGGCCGAATGCCTAGGTACTGGGGGGGGAAGGAGAGCGCCGCTTCCTCCGAACTGGATGCAATTTTCTCTTCCTCGTCCAGTTCCTCACCCGGAATAGCGTACGAAGCCGAAGCGCGCGCACTAGCATCCCAGCGCTTACCAGCTGCTTCCCGATGATAAAAGTCATGCATGAGTACCATAACGACAGAGAAGGCGAACCCGGCTCCGGAAATGAGTTTGCACGCTTTGAGCGAGGCGGCAACCAGGTCTGGCATGACCCATACTACGCTTGCGCCTGTTGGAAGAGGGGCACCACCCAGCAGCCAGCCCCAGGCCGAGGCTGCAACTGCAGCTGCGGGCGGGGTAGCGGCGTACGGCGTGCGGAACATGCTCCACGCCAAGGAAGGCGCCGTGAAGTAGTTCATGAGTGCGAAAGAGCCGTTGGAGTAGACGACCGAGGGGTAAAAGTTCATGATCGTTACCATGAGGAAGAAATGGGCGATCATGATGTGCGCTTCGTACAGTCTTGAGAGGAGGACAAGCATGGGCCAGATCCTTGTCGGTGCGGTCTTCCATGCCGAAGGAGGGGAGAGGGGGATCATATGCTGGGGTTTGAGCAGAGGGGAAGGGGCAAGAAGGGAAGAAGCGTTGAACAGCGACCCGTCTGCACCTGCGGCTAGGAGCGTCACTTCCTCACCTACGAGCGTCGTGGCGGGGGAGACGGTGCCAGTGAGGGGGAACTCGTTCTCGCTCTCGTTTTCCAAAATACTCGGGCTGGGACTGGACGGCTGGCTCCCTTCCTCGCTCGTACTGCCCGCAATGACCGTCGCGGCAGAAGAAGGGAAGGGGATAGGGGAGACAGAGCGAGAGTCGAGCATGAGGAGATGGAGGTTGCCACGATCCTTGGAAGGGCCAAAGTTCTGGGTTAAAGCGCGGTTCCATGCGTACCCCGTGTCCAGCGAACCCCACATATGACGGATAGCCTGCGTCCACCGTGCACCGGCGTCGTTTATCAGCCTTTGGACTCGCGAGCTCGCAGGAGCACCGACGACGTTGCACTGCGATGCTGGGGAATAGATCGTCTCCACCTTAAGCTGCACACGAAAAGGCTAATTAGCAACCGCTACACGACACGAGGGAAAGACGCACATGACCACACGTATCAAACATGCACTTTGTGAACATATGCATATCCTCGCCGATCGCCTCCGGGCCCGCGTCCCAGAACCCGACATAAACTGCCAATCCCATCGAGACCGAGTACGCCGAAGTGGGGATCTTGACCGTCGAGCTAGGATAGAGCCCTCCAATACCGCTAATCTCCCGTCAGACGTGCACACACGTGATGAGAAAGGGGAGACGCACGCGCAAGCCCACATTATATCCGTCACCCTGGTGAACACGGGCACCTCATCCTGGTTCCTGTCAAACAAGATCGGGGGCGCGAACATAATCCTGTCCCTATCGTCCGGGGGTGCAAGGGCAAACTTGACGGCGATGGAGAGGAAAAAGTCTGCAGCAAAACACGTGTCCGAGTCCATGACCGTGACGACCTGGCGGGCGAGGCGGGTCGGGTTGTCCATCTCCCGCGCAGCCATGAAGCGGCTTGCCCAGGCGACGTTGCTGCTCTTGCCTGCGGATTCACCGGGTATGCCAGCGGGATGGAGGCAGTAGGCGATCTCGAGGAATGCGCGTCCATACTCGTCTGCGAGGAGAGCGGCCTTTTCCCCGCTCCCAGACTCGCGCTCCTCCATGGCCAAGCAGACCTTGTACATCCTATTCGCCAACGGGTGGGAAGCGAGCACGTCGAGCGTCTCCCTGAGGGTGCCGAGGGACTCTTTATAGTTGGGGAGGATGATGATGTGCTCTACTGCTAGGAGGGGGAGGATGCGGTCTGTGGGTTGAGGATGGGGGAAGGGGCTTGTAGCGGTCGGGGGCAAACGGAGCTTCTGTTCCAATTTCAAGCTTTCCTCGCGGTAGAAAGCGACCCAGTCCGTGCGCGCCTGTTGGCGTGTTCCCCACCAGCTGGAGTGCGTTGCGTGCGTTAGCGTCAATCTCTGCAGGGGGGAGGGGACGTACCACCGGATCATGCCGTAGGCAGAGCGGAACTGGGAGCTCATGAAGGCGATATGGGTGAGGAGGAATACGAGTGAGAGGGTGATAGGCGCATAGTACGGACCGAACACGGTAAGGAGGAGTACAAACAAGTGTGTAATGATCGGCAGTCGCTGGAGTGCAGCAGTGAGCGTCAGTCCCGTGCCCCACAAGCCGGTGTTCGACACGGCAGTGGTGCTGCTGGCGATGCTCGAGTTTGCTCTGTTGTGCCTAGAGCGACGGAAGGGGATGGGTATGCGAGGACTGGGGAGAGAAGGGAGGAGAGCGGTGGTGGATGATGAAGAGAGGTTGTGGTGGTGTGCATGGGTTGGGAGAGCGCTGGCTTTTACTGCGAGGAAGCGGCGTACGAGTGCGAAGAGGTATGCTTTGCGCATTGTTGGGGTGGGGGGGGAAGATGGTGTAGGGTGGTGTCTATAGGGGAGGAAGGTGAGGTGTGCGACAAGGAAGGGAACGCGGCGGTGAGAGGAGGTGGAGGGAAGAGGAGGAAGAGGTCGTCGTCGTCGTTGAAAGGGAGGGAGGAGGAGGGAGGGATAAGAGAGAGAGGGGGGTGTTGGCAGAAGGATGAAAGATGAAAGGGAAAGGGAGCAAAGGGGTGAGAAGGGTGCAAAATGGAAAGGGAAGGGACACGCGAGGGAGTTATCCCTCTTACTACTCTTTCGTTACTCTACACCCCCTCTATCTATTTGGAGTGACATTCCCATCACTCCATCCCATCACCCCCTTCACTCCCTTCACTCCCTTTCTATTGGGGCCACAACGTTAACGGGGGGCGCGTCCCCTTTTCTCTCTCTCACGCGAAAAACGTGCACAACCCCCAGTCTCACACAGGACCCCACAACAGCCACTAAACCCTGACACCTGCACATCGCCCCACTCAGCGCATCTTCACTCCTCCTATGTCTCATAATCGCACACCTGTGTTTCTGCTCAGAGCTTAGCAGCAAAACTGCGCCCAGTGAACTGGTCTAACACCTCCCGTCCCTTCCCATCCGACTCCCCCCCCCCCTAAAATAAAAGCTCCCATCCCTGTCCTTCTTCTGCTTCTGCCCTGCTCCTGCTCCTGCTTCCGTTCGCTTCCCTTCCACATGCGGATCCAGGATTACCCTCTCCAGCCTGCCCTTCTATCTACGTACAGATAGAAATGAACATTCACATATTGCATAATATTAATCGCTCGCATCGCATCGTATCGTATCGCATCGTCTTCCGCAGTAGATCACCTCGCCGCAGTTTGACTACGCACTTCCACCTCTACCTATCGCACTTCCCAAGCTCAAACTCACAACCGACCATCCAGTCCCTCCCTCTGGCTATCCAATACCCGAACTCCCCGAACCCAGCCCACCAATAATGCCACTCTGAGGGTCCAAGGGTCAAGACCCCTTCTCATACATTACCCCGGAACTCTAACAATTCCAATTCCGACGTTCCGGAACGCGCGGGACGAGTGTATAAAAGCAGAGGGGGGTAAGATGCTGTTAGTCATTCGCTCGGGTAGAGCGTGCGCTGCTGCTACGCTTACTGCGTTTGCTGCTGACTATGTTGCGTCCGTCCATCCCTCCGGCACAGCACCCTCTCTCGCTACAGTACTAGTATGTCCAGCTCCATCGGTCTCCACTGCCATCCGACCGCCCAACCGCCCCCGCCCCGAGCGCGTCGGTTCGCTTCTCCCATCGCCTACCTACATACCTTTTCCAAGTTAGGCGACCCAAGTGTTTGCGTTTGCGTACGTGCGTGCGTGCGGTTGTTTGTTTGACAATGCCCGGTCCGGGGAGGTTTGTAGGTTCAGGGACCGGTCCGGTGTGAGACACCATAGAGGTGTGAGGTGAGAGCGAGCGAGCGACTGAGGCAGGGCAGAGGGAGATCTAGAGAGGGATACGAGCTCGAATTCCTGTCGACACTACCAGTGGACAGCTGCGTGCGAGCAGTGGTCAGGAATGTAGAACATCGTTCCTAGGGGAAGATGAGGGACGCGGACGACGATGTGAGCCGTACGCGTGTGAGAGTATGAGCCGTGTGAGTCAGTCGGTGGTGCCGGCGCGAGAGGAACCATCACTGTCACTAGTACTGTCACCATTGTCCTGAGTCACTACCCTCAGCCAACATCGTTCCATCAACAGCATAACATAACATCATAACATCGACAAAGCCCGTACTCACAACCCTCCTTCCCCGAGACGAATCAGACGTCAGACTGTCCGCGTCTGTCCGCGGCGGTAGGACATCGGCCTGGCGATCAGAGGGACCAGAATGAGTACAGTATTCCCGACATCAACGCCCGACCGGCCGCCGATAGGTAGAGGCTATGAATAACTTCGGGAGCCGCTGTAAAGTCCTGTTCAAGAGTAAATCCAATCATAATGATATTGATATTGATATTGATATTGATATTGATATTGATATTGATATTGATATTGATATTGATATCGTCAGATCACGACTCGGTCAAGCTGAGTCAACCTGCTGACCCAAGCAGGGACTGAGGGGAAACACGAAACGCGAGCCAGGCACAAATAGACGCGGTATGAGATGTCCCATTTGCCTGCGCTCCATTTTCCCGTGCTCGGTGGTCAAGTAATTAAATATTATAACAGCTACGTTTCTACCCGGTTGTACAGCCGCTATCGGAGAGCGACGTTTGCACCGGCCAAATATCTTCACCGGTAATACATTGGTGCTTGTGGGGTCCTTGTGCCCCTCACGAGCACGCGTAGTGCCAGGAGCTCATTACGTGACGTAACGGGACAGGACGTGAACATCAAATCTAGAGGTTTGGACAGCTGGGTGTCTCATGCCGTGTTAAACAATAACTGCTCGGACGAGCAGTGTGGAGCGGGGTTGGGGCAGGATGAGGTTTGTAGCCGCGGCCGGAGCGCTTCTTTGGGATGGTCTATACTTAACATACCACACATAGCGTGATCTCGCGTCTCCATGATCAGGTGGTCAGTGGCAGCCCATCAAATCGAACGAGGAGAGCATGTCGAAAACGGCAAGCGTCATTTCCTCATGGGGATGGCTCACGATAGATCCTGTACACAAGTACAACAATATAAGACAACAACGCTTTCCTACACTTACCTTCTATTCCCATCACCTATTATTACCCATACATGTTACTCCACTCAGCAAACGTCTCAAAGTTGCTGACAAGATCCATCTGACAGAGAATACATTCTCCCTCGATCTTCCTCTGCAGGCGGGTCTTCGCCACACACCCGTGCATCCCAGGAATGCCAAGCCGTTCCGCCACATCCCGGATGCAGCACACGGGCGTCCGTTCGAATATCCAATGGTCGACTTTATGTAACCTGCTGTCAAAGTTACATCTCGGACATTCGCCTTGGAGTTTGAAGGTGAGGGTGGGAAGGAGCGCGCGGAGAAATCGTAGAACGAAATCCTGGGCTTCGTCCTGCTCTGGGTCGCGAATAATCACCGTCTCGAGATGGCTCTTTTCCCTCGGCAAGTGTAGCAGGGCAGAGTCTTCGGGTTCTTGCCCAAGTGGGCAAATGTTGAGCATGAGAGTCCGCAGGAAGGGAGAAGTAGACAATAGGATGAATGATTCGTACGACAGGGCGCGCATCAGTGAAGAATAGTGTGTTACCGACGTCATCAATGAGCCGACCACAAGTACCTCCAGATCCGGCCATGCTCTCACCAACTCGTTTACGTGCTCGTCTTGAATGACAACGAATGGCTCAACGTTGACGATAAATGACTTCATCTGAGTGCACTTGAAGAGTGACGCAAACTCTCCAAGTTGCCATACGACAATGTGAGGAGCTGCCAGCGGACAGCGGTAATACATGCCGAATCTCAACAGTCCAGGCCATTTCTCGGCAATGGTCTTAAACGCATCCGAGAATACACCGCCCATATAGGCGGGGTCGTACAATTCGCTTGAATGTTCAGGTTTCACTTCGATCGCGGTGATGTAGGATGCATCCAACCTTTGCAGGAAAGCATGGAGCGCTAGAATACAGCGACTGGATATCATGAGATGCTGCAGGCAGGGTAAACGCAATGTGGTTGGTAGATCGGTCCTCCTGTCGATGGAGCATTCGAGAGAGCGCAGTGCAGTGAATTTTGGAAGTAATGCGAGATAAGACGATTGAAGATCTATGAACTTGAATGCCAGCGCGTGAGGTTGGAGTTTCGTAGTCGTCAGAGCATCAACAAAGTTGAACGCCTCATCACCCCGTCCCATCCGGCTTTCTTGGACTTGAATATGCAGAAAGTCCAGTCGTTGTAGCTTCTGCAGAGCCTTGAACGTTGCTGGAAGGCGTCTTTGCATCGGATGCCCAGTAGTATCGCTGGTGGACCAATCCATAAATTGTGCGCGATGGAAGACGCCCACGTATTGCAGATCTGGGAGATCGGCGATGAAGTCCACTCCCGTCTCGAGCGCCTTGTTAGTAAAGACCGACAAAGCCACTCGGCGCAGGGATGGGAAGCTGGATTTTGGAGATTGGGGGCCAAGAAATTTTGAAAAGGAATGCAGAGGGTCGTAGTCTACCGCGTGTTGATCAATGCTTAATGCATGTATTCGGGCACGATATAATGCCATACGAGTTCGGCTATCCAGCTGGATTGAACGTATGGGTAGTTGCGCGTGCTGCTCTCGAGTGAGGATTGAACTTGTGCATATATTGGGTAATGATGCTTACTTGGAGCTTCCGATATACCACTGCGACAGCTTCTTTGGAGCCGAGCATTTGTCGCTGCAGATAGTCCAGGTCGTGACATTGCGTCCACACTACTTCAATGCATAAGCAAAAGAGATAGCTGCAAGTTCGTCCCAGGGAAGTAGCCGTCGAGATATCGCAATATCGAAGAATGAGCCGAATAATGTCATCTATGCCCCATGCACGATGCAATCTGGTTGACCTCTTGTCATCTATAATCAACGACTGCCCTGAATACAGTCTCCTTTTTGCTGGGATGTGCGGCATACTGGTCGGCAAATGCTGGCCCCAATTCAACACGTGAGAAAGGCTGTCCGATGCCCACCTCAACGTCGTTGGCGGCGTTGATTTCTGCATTGGTAACCAAGTGCAGCTAAGCCTGCTTCCTGGTACGAACAGTGCGCAGCTACATACCAATCGGCCGGCCACCTCGAAGACCCTGAACGGACATCGGACCGACCTTACCGATCGGAGGCACGTGAGGAAGATTGACTTTTCACCGAAGTTAGCCTGCTTTTCCTGCTCGACAACATATTGGCCAAGCAAACATGGAAGAGGGAACAAGCAGAGGAATTTCTTGCGCCTTGTCTTTATGCTTCCGTTCTGCGTGGGGGGTTACCCCACGCTGGTACACAGGGTTCCGTTCTTTCGGTTTCGTGGACAAATTTCCACGTGCTACTGAAGCTCAAGAGCAACTAGCCTTGTAGGTGGCTTCTATTTGCACCGCGGCGATCCAGTCGACACTTACGCCCCTGTGACTGCAACTGCAATGCCGGGGTTGATGAACTTCACTCGAAGTGGAACTGAAATAAACCTGTTGCTTGGATGGTGCTTCTGTGTTGTATCCGGGACGTGGCAGTCCATGCCTTGCTGCTCGGCGTCCATTATCGGTGCATATCTTCGAAGACCACGGATGGTACTCCACATGGAACGCCCTGAAATGCTGGCTTCTAATCGGCGAACTGCACCATACCAGCCCATTTTGTCCCACGAAGCTGACGAGAACTCAACCCACGAGAATAGCGATGCTCACATCTAGTGAATGAGTTGCCGGATGTTGACGGGCAAACTGAATCAATCGACGCTTATCGGAAGACTTGCGTAGCGCATTCCCACCAGTCTTTGTTGATGTCCTCCCATGGGATATATCAACCTCTAATTCAACGGATGTAACAATGCGATCTCAATTATGTTGGTCCCATTGTTAGCAACATGTGCAATTGGACTCGTTCTAGGCTGGTTGCTCGTGTCTACTAGACGTCCCGCTAATCTCCCTCCCGGTCCGAAACGTATCCCGGTATTTGGCAACTTATTCCAAACACCTTCCAACCTGCTCTTCACCAAACTTACGGAATGGTCTAAGGAATACGGTGAGTATACGTGATCGGATTACCTGGATGTAAGCATTGACACTTGTCACCATAGGAGGTATATTCTCGTATGATGTCATGGGACAACCTATCATCGTGCTCTCTGCCGCCCAAGAGGCTGGTGATGTCCTTGACCGTCTGTCGGCAAAAACCTCCGATCGGCCGCCGTTGATCAAAGCGGGAGAATTCTTGTGCAAAAACATGCAGATGACATTCCTTCCGAGGGGCAAGAGGTACGTCGATCATGATGCTTTTGCACGTGGTTCTGACACAGCGGCAGATGGAGGACGATGAGACGTGCCGCCCATGAAAGGTTTGGATTCACGTGAGATGATCGTTCTCTGTGCTGAACATGATTGTAAAGCCTCAATGTCCGCGTCGTGAAGGACTACGCTCCAATGTTGAAAGACGAAGCGACGATTCTGGTCGAGGGCCTGGTAGATCATCCCGATATTCCTGTCTCCGGTCATATCCACCGAGTTGCAGCATCTATGGGATGGAGGAGTATATTTGGCCACGAGGCTATACCCCTGCTAGGACCTGATCCATCACATCGGATCGAAGAATTGGCTGCTGAGATGTCGGTTGCAATGCTTCCCGGAGGCTCGGTTGTAGACGTCTTCCCCATGCTCAAGCCTATCATCGCCAGAAGCAAGTTCCTCAGGAAGTACGTCATCGCATCATATTTCATCGACCGTGTAGTTGATTCCCTTACAGACATGCTGACCGCTGGTTCGAAGAGCTGTCGTCCTGCTTCCTACATGCGTATTCTACGGACCAGGTCCTATTTCTCTTAGACGACCTTGCAGAACAAAATCTCAACTCGTATTAGATCGAAGGGCAGTTGTCTGTTAGTGGCACGTTGAAAGAGACAGGCGAGAAACTCGGCCTCACAGCACATGACGGTGCATGGATAGGTGCTGCCCTCTTGTATGTTGCCGTCGTCTGCGTGTTACGAACCTCCGCTGATGAGAATACTCTAGCTTTGCAGCGGAGGATACTGTTGAGTTCTTTCTTAACAGCTTGGACAATGCGTTGATACCAAGGAAAGACTGCATGCTCTCTACTCTGGTTCATTTACGCGATACTGCTGTATCCCGAGACTGCCAGCGCCGCTCGTCAACAGCTTGCTGATATCGTTGGAGATCGACCACCAGAGTTTTCCGATCGAGACAAGCTGCCCCACATCGAGGCTCTGGTCAAAGAAGTCTTACGATGGAGACCTCCTGTTCCGATGAGCATTGGACATGCAGCCTCCGAGGTACGTTCTGATACGATTACCTTGCCTTTTACCCATGTGATTCTAGGACTTCGAATACAAAGGATACACCATTCCCAAGGGAGCGGTTGTCGTGGCTAATCTCTAGTGAGTTGTCCTGTCCTCAACTAGACGTCAGTGTACTGATACAAGCAGCGGAATCGGTCGAGATCCGAAGTTGTATTCTGACGGAGAGCGCTTTGATCCTGCGCGATTTATCGATAAGAACGGCCAGCTGAAGCAGCCGGCTCGCGATTCGAAGGATGACTATCTCTGCTTTGGACATGGCCGCCGCATCTGTCTCGGCAAAGACATTTCCATTGAATCCCTTTGGATAACGTTCGCCTATCTTTTGTGGGCATTTGACATCAAGAAAAGGCGAGACTCGAATGGGGACGAAGTGAATGTTTTCGAGCCAGGTTTCCTCGATAAGGGTGCTACGCTTGAGCCGGTTCCGTTTCCCCTGCAACTTTGTCCTCGGTATATCGATCTCAAAGAACGGTTAAAGGCTGCAAATCATGGGGCGTGAAGATTTAGCAAGGCTATGCAAACGAAAGCATGTGGATGACGGCCAGCCGATATGAATAGCAGCTCTTCATTGGTTCGAATTAAGCTGATTTTTTTACCACGAGTGACGATGCTCAACTTTGTACACCCAACAGTTTCATGAATGACACGTACAAAGCTTACCAAGCCTCCAGGCACATTCACATGTAAGAAGGCAGGGGACGCTTGCCGTCACCGTTTATTTCCGTGAATATTCTCAACGGTTAGCTGCAAGTCTCGGACATCCTTTCCCAAATGTTGACCTTCTTTCAATAGAAGCATAAGAGGGACCCTATAACTAGTGGGTGAGCAGATGACCCTTGAACCGCAAGCTCACTGCAGCTTCGCAACCGTGTGCAGCCGCGGCATGGACCGCTTCACAGAACTGTGCTCCCCTTCTATATAACAGACCCTGAGATGGGGCTAGATTTAGAGTCGCACGCAGGATGCCCGCCTATATCTTGTTCCTCTTTGCCCTGTTGATCCTGTTGTTGTTTTCGATTCGTCGTCGGTCTCATGGGGCAGCATATCCTCCAGGTCCCCAAGGTATTCCGGTCCTAGGCAACGTTCTAGAGCTCCCTCGTAGTCTGCTCTTTCTCAAGCTAGCCGAATGGGCTCAAGTGCAAGGTATCAGGTTGACTATATGCATCATTTCCTTGGCTCACTTCTGGATAGGACCACTATACACCGTGAACATATTGGGCCAACCCCTTGTTATTATTAATTGCGCTAAGGAAGCAGCCGATCTTCTGGACCGTTCATCCCTCATCACAGGCGGTCGACCATCTTTGATCAAAGTTCGTCTTTGCTCCAATTTTTACTCGCAGCTGACTTTTTGCAAAGGCTAGCGACTTCCTCACCAGAGGACTGGTGATTCCATTGATTGACAAAGGAGAACGGTAAATCCATTTCTCTTGCCACTATGCCATGTGCCATGCCACTCATGATCTTTAAAAGATGGCGTTTAATGCGGAAAGCTACGCATGAGCGGTAAGAACAGCACAAAACCTCTCGCAATGCTTTGCGTCTCACCAGCAATTGATCAGCTTGAATGTTCGTGATACCAAGTCGTTTGTCCAATCCAAAAAGACGAAGCTGCTTGTCTAGTCGAAGGTCTTATTCGTCACCCCGAAATAAAAGTCTTCCGTCATCTGCATCGGATAGCTGCTTCTATTGGTTGGCGTGCGTTATGGGGATTTCCAGGAATTCCCGTCCAGGGGCCCGATCCCAGCCATCGGTTGGATGAAGTGGCCGAAGTGCAATTCAAAGCGGCCATACCAGGAGGGTCGATTGTGGATATTTTCCCCGCGCTGAGGCATATTATTAGCCGATCTAAATATCTTATGCGGTCCGTCCTTGTTCTCAATTCTGTTGGGACCTTTTCATCTAACAGTGTACCCAGCGAATCGAATGCTTGGTTCGAGGAGATGAACAGACTGTCGCTCCATCTGTACGACACATCCTGTGCGTCAAAGGCAAGTTGTCTCCCTCCTCTCGTGACAACGTACCTCATTATTTGGGTAAGGAGTGGGGAATTAGTTTTGGAGCGAGTTTACGAGATCGGGAGCGGAAGAGTGGACTTCCCCCACAGGAGGAGGCTTGGTTGACGGGACAGTTGTTGTAAGTCTCCTTCTGTCTTTGTAACGCAAGACTGATTTATTGAATCAAGCCTCGCTGCTAATGATACAGTTCGCGTGGAGTTCAGCGTTTGACTTGATCTGACTGGGTTCTATCAGCCATCGACCTCCTTGGCGTATCTCGTCTTGGCGATAGTTCTGTATCCGTCTCAATTCATCACAGCCAGACAACAAATAGATGCAGTTGTCGGAGGTTCTATGCCATGCTTCGAAGACTGGGATAAACTGCCTCTCGTGGAAGCGATAATGAAAGAACTTCTGAGATGGAGACCGCCTGCACCGCTTGGTAAGTGCTCGACATAAACACCCCACAGTTACGATTGCCAATAAGTCTGCCATAGGTGTGCCACATGTTACTTCAGAGGTATATCTCGTACATGTCTTACGTTTCCTATTGTGACAAAAACTAGGAGATTCGCTACGGCAAATACTTCCTGCCAAAAGGAACCTCATCGGTGGCGAATATCTGGTGAGCAACCTTCACCACAGCATGACGTATACGAAGCATGATCCAGGACGATTTCCCGCGATCCAACCTTATACACTAATGCCCAGGACTTTGATCCTTCGCGATTCATCGACGACAACGGAAAGTTGAAACAAGGCGCCCCTGACTCGCATAACGATTACCTGGCGTTTGGGTTTGGCCGACGGGTATGTGGGGGGAAGGCGTTCGCGATTAACTCCCTGTGGATCTGCATCGCTACCCTGCTCTGGGCCTTCGAATTTGAGCCCACTAAGGATGCCGATGGAAACGACATTCTGCCTGAGGCGATGGACTTCGTGGATTTCGGTGCGACTGTGCGACCTGCTACACCGGTTAAAGTCGTGCCCCGTTTCCCCGACTTACTGCAGAGGATCAGGGCTTCCAGAGATCATTGTATTGACTGATTGGTTGTCCTAGAACAGACGCGCAGCTGCAGATGATAATGGTATTTGAAATGCGTTAAGGTGTCTAATATGTGTGACATGCGCCGATGGCTAGAGCAAACTATTCTATCATAATGATGAGCGCAAGCTCACGTCCTTGAAAGAAGATAAGTGTTCCTTCTCTGGTGAGAAGTATCCTTATGTCCATTGTTGATGCAATTCCGCATCTCCTGTGCCTCCTTCGACACCGGCCGTGCTTGTCCCCCACTTGCGAGTGCCTTTCCCAGCGATTGAGTCCCTTTACAGTATTCAGCGCATCGTTCGCGGCATCAACCATCTCTGATGCACCCCTGTGATCTCCCAACGCCCCATGCCAGTGGACCCGTTTCTGGTGCTGCTTCGCCTCCATCACGTACATATATGCAGCAAGGTGATGATTCCCGTCCGCGGTATGTTGTTGAGCCAGCTCAGAGTAATCCTTCGTGTACCACTTGGCTTCAGCGGCTGTTGGCTGTCCTATGCCTGACTTGATAATGCCAGGGGTATGGGAGAATGATCAATCTCTGTCCTTCGTGCTTGAAGTAAACACTGGCGCTGGATGCGTTGCACTCCCAGGAGCATACGGAGGAGGAGGATCTGAATGGGTGACGGAGGCCATGTGATCATCGTGCAGTGAATAAGGTGGGGGAGTCCATCTCATGAGCTGCGGAGACGTCAGGCTGGGGAGCTTTCATAGCGTGCACCGTATTCATAGCAAGGGCCGGTTCAAATCATGAGCTGTGGGGACATTGCTCCGACGAAGCTTTTGGGTCTGAGGCTTAAGGTCAGTCTCAGAACGGGATTGGATGTGGGCTTGACCTTCCTGAGGTCCACCGAAAGCATGTCGCCTGAATTGAAATCGTAAAGTGAGAGATGCACGATGAAGTCAACAGGTTCACGCACAGTATATTTGGCAGCTTTAGAGGGCTTCCAGAGCCACCAATGCAGCAAAATCCAGATCAAGAATACAGTTTTAGCAAAGATCATGTGGAAGGAAAGGGAAGGAATAAAAGGTTACCAGCACCTCTGTTGGACGAAAAAAGGAGAGAGCAGAGGAGAATTGAGACCAGCTGCCGTTATTCTTGACCAGATCAAGATACTTATCCATGCGGAATGGACAACCTTACCAATATGTACAGAGTGCTGACCCGGCGCCGAGCACATCGCCTTCTCCAGTGTAGGATGCCTACGAGGGGCCCAACATTACTTTTCCGCAAGGGGGCACATAAAACCCACACCAGCACAATTGAATAGTGTGGTTCGGCACAAGCTATTTTTTGTTGTGTAAGTAATTACAGATATCATTGTTTGTTCGAATTGAATGCGCACCTGTTTGGACTTCGTGCACTGATTCCACTTGCGAAACCTGTTCGAAGTCGCTGCCTGAGGATCTACACGTCTGAGCACCGCAAGCTAGCCGAAAGTATAAAAACGTGGCCTTGAGAACGCTTTCGCAGGCTTTTCGTGAGAAATCATAGTCGCTCTTCAAAAGGCGCCGCAGGTTCACGTGAAAAGGCAATGATCTTCGGAGAAAAGCAAGGTTTTGCTTCCGAATCTGATTATTTAACTAACTTTAACTCTGGATTGGAAGTTATGTCTGTGACTCGCCCGATGAGCGTCGCACGGATCTCCAGTGTACGAAGATCGGTCGTTAGAACGAAAGGCCTTACCACGAGCAGCTTTCGAACTGTCAACGCCGACCGTCCTGCGAACGGGCTACGTTTCGTTCCTCTCGCTGCTCCACAATCATCACCCAAGAAAATCTCCGCAGCAACGACAAGAGTCCTGTTAGATGTGGACGACAACTTCAGCCGGTTTTACAACTGGACGCCGACCATCGATGATGGATTCCATGAATTGGACATGATAATCGCAGTGGGGTGCTGAGGAGGCTCCAACAAGCAACAAAGGTGTGTGTGCAGTCACAATAATCGAACCTCTGCTCATGTCGAAAGATCGTCTCGCTCCGACGCCTGGTCGCGTATGCACACAGGAGACTGCGCATTCATGATATCAAGATCTCGTCAAGCTTTCGATTAGACGTTGTCTACAATTGCGTTCCTCTGGTCCCTTCCACAGACGAGATATATATACGGCACCCTCGTCGCTCTATACGCCACCCGTTATTCTTGTGAACCTCTCACGCATAGCAGCTATGAGCTTGCGTGTGGAGAAGAACAGAGCGTTGTGGAACGCGTAATACAAGCCCAAGCTTGATTGGCAACATATGGAGCACAACGCTAGACACTTGGAGGCCCTGCTCAGTTGGTCGCTCCATCCATGCCTTAACGTTTCGTTCCCACCCACTGAATCTGTTTACAGGAATATATGCCTTCACCAGGGAGAAATGCAGTGACTTCAGTATCGAAACCATATGGTGCCTTGTGCGTTATGATGTGCCTATGGGATCAGGGAGACGGAGAAACACGGTGTATCGTCAATAAAGGCACAATGTCTCAGCTGATCTTTCGCTTAACTGAACATCAATGAGCAAGTGTAGTGAAATCGCCATGCATGGATAAGACCACCAGTCAGAACGCCCGGCACGCGACGGGTGTTGCGAGGGTTTCGAAGGATATCTCAATCGAATCCACTTGGGCAATATGGTCCAGCTTCAGCGGACATATGGGACAGGCTTCCTGTATACCCTCAAGCCGCTTCGTTCTTCGTTCAGCTTCGCCTGCCTTATGCCCATCTCAAAAGGCGGCTAAAGGTTGCAGGCAGGGATCCGTGAAGAATAGGACAGAGAAAGGTCAGATATCAATAGATTTGCACGGCCTTGAGATAAGCTCATTTCATTAGCCACACGCCTAGGCCTGTATGCCAAACGTCCTCTCACATTTAAACTGCAAGTGAATCACTTGTTAATCGAACCCTACTACCCGAGAATATATATTCACCGCACCAGTCTGGCTCTGCTCAGGCTTCTTGGACTGAGAATGATGCGTCAGCCTATTCCGTTAATGCCTCCGTGTGGGTGAAAAATCCAGTCCAGACGTGTCCAGACGAGGATAGACGTTAAACCTACCTGGTCTACGCTAGGAAAGATGCACCCGGAACGGGGTGATATATATTCCCTTACGACCGCCGATCGGTCGATCATCCTCGTCTTTTCGCACCATTGAGCCGAGAACTTGCAGCATTTGTCCACCCATCCCCATCAGTGTCCGGTACTGCATGGATATTGCGGAAGGGTGGTTGCGGAAGTCCCATCATGGTATTCCACTTGTTTGAGCTCCTTTCACTGGACGCGAGAAGAAGGTTCAAGAAGAGCATCACCAGAAGGCAATCTTCAGCCGCTGTCGACTCGAGCTTCGGGCCGCATGTGGCATGGTCAACTTCTCGGAACCATCACATCTTCGTATATTATCAGTCCTGAGAGGTTGGGTTTCGGTCTCGCGCGACATGAGTCCCTACATCCTTTTCCTCGTCGTGCTCACGATACTGCTGCTGATTTTGGTTCGTCGTCGATCTAATGCGGTGAACTATCCTCCTGGTCCCAAAGGCAACCCGGTCCTCGGCAACCTTTTGGAGCTTCCGCGTACTCTGCTCTTTCTCAAGCTATCGGAATGGGCCAAGGAACAAGGCAAGGTGAACACGTACGCTGTTTCGACGCCGAGTTGACTGTCGGATAGGACCGTTGTACACTGTGAACATGCTGGGTCAAGCACTCGTTATTATTAACAGTGCCAAGGTTGCGGTGGATATTTTGGATCGTTCATCCATAATCACCGGTGACCGGCCAAACTTGATCAAGGTTTGTATTCCCTGTAATTGTACGGCTCGACTGACTTTGAGAAGGCTCGCGATTTCCTGACAAGAGGATTGCAGATTGCGTTGCTTGACAGAGGAGAACGGTGACTCATTATCCATATGGTCGCAACGATCACAGCATCTCATTTACACATCTTTGTACAGCTGGCGGTTGATGCGAAAAGCTGTGCATGAACGGTGAGAACATCATTCCCACATCGCTGAACCACGGGCCTCATCACTATTGACTAGTCTGAATGTCCGTGACGTGAAGTCGTTTTGTCCAATCCAGAAAGAGGAAGCTGCCTCTCTCGCCGAAGGCCTTATTCTTCACCCGGAGATAAAAGTATTCCGTCATCTACATCGAGTGGCGGCTTCCATAGGATGGCGTGCGTTATGGGGGTTTCCAACAATTACAATAGATGGCCCTGATCCTACCCATCGCTTGGATGAACTGGGAGAGGATCTGCTAAAAGCCTCAATACCAGGAGGATCTCTTGTTGATATCTTTCCTCCATTGAGGCACATCATTCGCCACTCCAGGTATCTCATGAGGTTCGTCGATATCACTTGTGTGTTTGCAGCGCAGAGCTCACTAATATTCTCAGGAAGTCGAACACTTGGTTCGAGGACATGAACCGACTTTCCATTCACTTGTATGACACGTCTTGTTCGTCAAAGGCAAGGCAGGTCCGCATACCAAGGAATGTATCTGATCGTTTAGCTAGGAATGGGGAAACAGCTTTGGGGCGGCTTTACGAGATCGGGAGCGGATCAGTGGACTGTCACCTCAGGATGAGGCTTGGTTGACTGGGCAGTTGTTGTAAGCACTCTTCTAGTATTGTAACGTGCAGCTGATGGATCAAATGAAGCGTTGCATCCAACGATACAGTTCGTTTTCGAGTTTCCCGTTCGGATGCATCTGACTTCGTTCTATCAGACATCGACCTCTTTGGCCTATTTGGTCTTGGCGATGGTGTTATATCCTTCCCAATTCATCAAAGTCAGACAGCAGATTGATGCAGTTGTCGGCGATTCTATGCCTTCTTTCGAGGACTGGGAGAAACTACCGCTCGTGGAGGCGGTAATGAAAGAAGGCCTGAGGTGGAGACCGCCTGCACCGCTTGGTATGTGTTTGGGAGCACCGCAACACCCGTGACCATCACTCATTCGCATTTGTAGGGGTTCCACATGTTACTTCAGAGGTTTTGATTATTTGCAACCTCTGTTGCCTACCTTGACGATAATCAGGATATCCGTCATGGCGAATACTTCTTACCGAAAGGAACGCCATTAGTTGCTAACCTCTGGTGAGCCGTCTTCCTCACACGCGTAACTTTCACCTATGCATCATCTAGGACGATTTCCCGCGATCCAGCCTTATACACTAATGCAGAGGAATTTGATCCTTCTCGCTTCATTCACGAGAACGGAAAGTTGAAGCAAGGCACTCCCGACTCGCACAACGATTACCTGGCATTCGGATTCGGCCGACGAGTATGCGCAGGCAAGGCGTTGGCTATCAACTCGGTCTGGATTTGTCTCGCAACCTTGCTCTGGGCATTCGAATTTGAGCCGATGAAAGATGCCGATGGAAATGACATTCTGCCCAATCCAATGGACTTTGTGGATTGCGGCGCGACGGTTCGCCCTCTTGCATTCCCGATGAAAGTTATACCCCGCTTCCCCGACCTATTGCAGAGGATCAGAGCTTCCAGAGATCATAGTATTAACTGAATCCCAACGCTAGCTCAGGAATGTAGCTTGCAAAGATATCGTTAGCTGAAATATGAAGCATTTTGGGTACGGAGAATTAAACCAAAATGATGATGATGATGTGCGACAGGCGCCTAATATTCGCCTCCGTTTGGGCGCTGGAATTTCACAGTTCATGCACTAACGATCGACCTGACCCCGACGACTCATACCAACTCACGCTACATTTAAGGATATATCTACACGTACTGTATCGCTAAACACGCACTTAGAGCTGATTACACTGAGAGATTACTTTGTGGATCCAGACATCGTGTCATGTCGAATTCTCATGACGGTATGCTCTTTGTAGGCGACCAGGAATGCAACACTCACCGCAAGTCACAGACATAACCGCCGCATTGGGCAAGACGTCGTCATTATGCAATTTAGGGCTGAAGGCTCTACGCGCGCCGAATGCTCAGGCCCCGCAATCAGCCGGAGAGCTTCCACCGCTTACCGTCCTTCGTACGGACTACGTCTCCCTCCTTTCGCTGCTGTACAACCGGGCACTCTCCCTCTCCCTCGCTCTCAAGCCTCCAATAACCTCTGCAGCGGTGACAAAAGTCCTGTCAGATGTGAACGACGATCTGGGTCGATTTACCAATTGCACGCTGAGCATCGACGATGAGAGACATGGATCGGAGATGAAGAAGCAGATGCGGTGGGGTGCTGAGGAGGTGCTGGAAGGCGTTCAACGAACGGTGGACTCTGCCCTGCAGGCTGTGAACTCGGGGGCTGTTGAGGAAGGCGACAAGCGCGATCTGATACCGGTCGCTGCGCTGCTATCAGCGATCGAGAGCCTGAAATGGAGGCTGCCGAAGGATAACACGGACGCGATCCTGCGACGGTGGGAGATGGACAGTGCTGCGCTGGACGATGGGGTTAGGGAAACGAGGGAGATGATCGAGGAGGGTGATGAGCGGGCGCAGAAGGCGGGTGGGGATGCTGACGAACCCGAAGAGGAAGATGAGGAAGATGCAGGAGGGTGGGACGAGTTGGGCGATGGGTTCGGAAATGAAGTGCTCAGTGGGCAAGAGTTAGATCGCGTAAAGAAGGTGTGTGCTCGTGTCAGCATAAAACAACGACTATCCACTGATGTGCACAGGTCTTCTCTCTCCTTCGACTAGTCACGCTTCTGCACAAGAGACTGTTCGTTCATCATCTCAAGATCGCGCGAAGCCCCCCCTTGAGCGAGGAACACGTCGTCGCCCTGTTTCGACATTCCGCTCCTCTGGTCTCGTCAACCGACGAGCTCGCTTCTGCCCTCTACACACCACAAGACGTGCCCGTGATCCTTTCCCGGATCAAAGGGGTGCACGAGCATGTAGAGAAGTACAAGACCGTGTGGAATGCTTGGGATGCCGAGTCCGGTCTGGCGGCGCTCAGCGTTGGGGAGAAGCCAGGGAAGGAGGATGAGGACGCGACGAACAGGAAATGGTTCGACATGTGCTTCGTGCAGATTGACCGAGTTGTCAAGGATCTAGAGCATACGCTCGCATGAGCGCATGAGCTCAGCGTGACTGCATCTGTATTCATTGTTACGTGCAGCACACGAATGGTACCATCTGCACAAGAACGGCCAGAATCATCACCATACTCATAAACATGAGGTGAGGCCGAAAGAAGATATACGAGTGTTCGGCACTGTCGGGCCGAACAGTCGTATATCTTCTTGGGCGTCCGGTCATGTCATCGTTGTATAATTGTAAAGGACAACACGTTATCGAAGTCAAACACAATTGTAACTTCTGCCGCGGTAGACGGCGAAATTCGTAATACATGTGGCAAGGGGATTGCGTTCCAGACCAAGCGCATTGTGACGCACACACGTAACATATTGTGCACAGTCATTCCCCCCGCAACATCATACCGCACAAGACAAGGAGGCGCAAGGAGGCTGTCTCCACCTCATGAACCTCGAACATCTCCCAACCTCCCTATACCTAGCAAACGTGCCTCAGCCCCCGACTCCTACGCCACCAAGAGAGAGATAAGTCAAGCATGAGCACATGCTACGTGCTTGACTTTGTACCGCCCTGATCAGGGCGGTACATGTGCTCGGCCTAGCTACATTGGGGACATAATAATGTTCCGCTCATGAAGGTAGGTCGTGTGTCGTGTCATGTTGGCCGTGTTTGCACTCCCGTTGGGTGAAAGGCTGCTTTTCCGGCAATGTTCGGATAGCCGCCTCGGGGTGAATGACTCCCATCTACTCCACTCGGCTACTTGTGATAAGCCACGGAGGCGTGAGAGCGTGTGGGATTTCTCGGGGGAGGGAATATTGATATTACTGCTACATACTGGATAATCGGGTGAGGAAGCCTCTGATGACACTGAAAGATGATGCGTGTGTTGTTCTTCCGGAGTACGAGGGCCTTTAGGTTACACTCCGGATACTCGTGCAGGGTGTCAGAAATCTGTACTAGAGTATAATTGAACAATAGACGAGTTGTGACTGGAACATGAAGCAAGGAGTGTGTTCTGGAGCATGGATCTACACTCAGAAGATAGAAATGGCATGGTACTATTGATGGTATTCGCACGAAGGAGAGAGAACGGTCGGTGCTGCCGGGCCGTGAGGGTTGGATGAGAAAGGCGGGCCGAGGATGATCGAGTGCGGAGTGTGTGGTTGGTAGGCAGGAAGGTTGTCTGAATTGCGTTATGGTAGATTTTTACCCCAACGAGAGCGATGCTGTGATGGATGAGACATGACAATGATTAGCTTAGTTTAGTGTAATATTATTATCGATAATCAAGGGAAGTTGTGGCGTTATGTTCTAGCCCTTGTAAAAATCTGAAAAGGGCGAATAAAAGGGTTAAATTATAGTTTAAGATTAGAAGAGAGAGAGAGAGATGTGAATCGATCAAGTGCACACATGCTCTCTTTTTCCCTTTTACCCCCTCGTGGCACCCCCCTTGCTTCCCCCTCCGTGTGTGGTCGTCCCTTGTCTCCACAGTACTCTTCACTCCTCACTTCACTTTCCCCCCTCTCTCCTCCCTCCCCCCTCTCTCTTCACTACCACCACCATCCCCTTTTCAACCCTTCACAGCCATCGTCACCTCACGACCCAGCACGACCTGACACGACATTACGACTCCATTCATCCCCGAGCCGCATCATCACCCCCTCTCATCCTATCCCATCACCGCCATCTCCCGCCCTCCCACACAAACTCATCCTCCGGCCACGAGCACCGCATTACCCTCTCACACCCCGCATAACCGAATAGCTCTACCCGATCCGGACTCCGCGCAGTGCATTACCGCCCGCACCCCTCTCCCTCGAGGTCCTTAACTGAAACCGCGTGCCCCTGCCGACCGCGAGGGCGCACCCACACACCAAAACACAAAATCTCGCCTTGGTTTGAGCATACCTCCCAAGTGGAACCCGACTGTGTCACGCGGAGATCTCCAGTCAACTAGGGCTGAGAATTCGAAGAAATACTCATTGTCACTGCTGCTCTCAACAGTTGAACGAAAGAACGAACACGCGAAGCGTTGCTAACGACTCTGACGAACTTTGCACGCTTTTCTAAGTGCGTCCTCTACTGTTACAATAGATTGGTAGGATGCTGATGTTTCTTGTTTGGTAGAAATCATGGCTACTGCTGCCCAGGCCGCTGCTCTGGGATTGGAGCACTGGAAGGTGACTATGCTTGGCGATGGAGGGGTGGGGAAGACTGCGCTCGCAGTGCAGGTCCGTCCATTCGCTCCCTTCCATCCACTTCCCCGCTGACTGTATCCCGCAGTTCACGCAAAAACAGTTCATCGGTAAGCCGTGACTGGTTCATCACGATGACACACGCTCATTACGGCACTGCCCCTTTCGGTACCTACAGAGACCTACGACCCCACAATCGAGGACTCGTACCGCAAGCAAGTGCTTGCGGACGGTAAGATGAGCTTCCTGGAAATAATCGACACTGCCGGCCAAGGTTAGTCCTGTGCTGTGCTCTACTGGCGAGATAGGGGCTGACGGTCACACGACAGAGGATTACTCGACCCTTCGGGAGCAATGGATTCGGTAAGTCCTCTCCCCCTCTCCTGGCGCAGTTCTGACCTGTGTCTGGTGTCCCTCTCCCTCCCCGTTTTCGCCCAATGCAGTGAAGGACAAGGCTTCATCCTCGTGTACAGCGTCACGAACCAGACATCGTTCCAGAATGTAGACCGGTTCCGGAAGACGATGATCTCCCTCCACCCCGAAATCCCGGTGTTCCTCATCATCGGGAACAAGGCTGACGACGCCTATCGGCGGGAGGTGTCGGCCGAACAAGGCCTGACATACGCGAGACGGCATAACTGCGAGTTCTTCGAAGCGAGTGCCAAGTCGGGGCAGAACGTTGAGAAACTGTTTAGCGAGGTCGTACGCCAGCTGAGGGCAAACAACCGGTCCCCCCAGCCACTCACGCCAAACTCTACTACGTCGACCAGCGGGCGCGGAAGCTCACGCACGAGCGCTTCGGGGTATACGGCCCATTCGAGCACAGTAGGAACAGCGACACCACTGACGGTGCCGAGCTCGGGAAGCCTGGGGCACCAGCAAACACCGCGTGGGTATCCCGCGGCATCGGGAGCAGGAGGGCTGGGAGCACCTCGATCCCCTCCGCCCCCATCGAGCGTCGGGAAGATGTCTGCTCCCCCGGCGTTAGGACCCGGTATGAGTGCGTCTGGGAGCACAAGAAACAGGGGAGGGTCGACCAGTCGTTCTGAGCCAGCGGCGTATCCAATCCCGGGAAGGGATGTCCGATCTCCCACTGCCGCAGGAGGGATGCCCATGAGCCCACCAGCACCGAAGAAGGGCGCCAGCAGCGCACCTGCACCAGCAGTCCGAGGAGGCACACGACTGCAAGTCAACACTTCCTTCATCACTGGGAACGCCGCCAAAAGCTTCTTCTTCAAGACCGGCTCTGCCGGTGGAGCAAGAGGAAAGCAGAAAGAGAAAGAGAAAGAGGAAGAAAAGTCAAAGGGAGGATGTGTCGTTATGTGAGCTGTCGATCTCTGCCTGGAAGGAAACAGTATCATGTCTAGCATGTCTGGTCGAATCACGCTCTGTTTACCTGGACTATTCCGCTCTCTCGCTCTCGATCCTCCCACCCTCAGATACCCAGGGACGGACAAAACATCCTTTTCCGACCCTTTCCTTTCCTTTTGGTGTACGTGCTGTCTCTCTTTGCACTCGCAAGCATCCCTGTTTATCCATATCATCTCATCCATTTCGCTGCACACTACTCTTGCCCTCTTCATTACCCGCGGCGTCATACCTCCTGCCAGGTCGTTGTCGTTATCACATTGGGCGCTTTTCTTCCTCAGATTGTACAACACCTTTCCCTCCCTCTTTTCGCATCCGCAGCCCACAACCTTGTGGACTTCCGCTTTGCCCTTTGCCCGTTGTATGATCTACCTCTCCTCCCCTCCCTTCCTTCGTCGCCTCATCCGCTTCGTTCACTTTTTTGACTGACTGAAAAAGGATACCCCGGGGGGAAGCAGTGTGCTATGATATCGAATTTCATTTTCTCTCTCTCTGTGATACATGTCTTACCCAGTTCGGTTCGGACTTTGCTAGATATACCCGTGACTGGTCCTCCCCCTCCCTTCCCCTGGTTATCCATCCACTTAGACGCGCTTGTTGAGTAGAAGTCACATGCGGGCTGCCATAACCAGTTACAACTTAAATTCGTCCCCGGGTTTGGTGTCGAGGCAACCCAGGACCGCAGACGATCGACGTGCATTATAGGCGACCTGATTGACCAACCCCTGATTGGTCATCACCAAGTTCGGTCAGAAGCCGCCCTTCTGACCGAACTTGTGGACCCCCAATGCTGAGCTGGAAGGGTAACCTCCGTCCCTCGCTCTCAAACTCTAGATACACTGGGAAAGACTTGTGCCCAGAAGGCGGGAGGAACGATACAATCCGATCATATTGATCTGTTATCGTATTGAATCTGCCGGCGGTGGTGAGGGAGTGAATGGGCTTGGTAAGAACGGGTGCCTGGACGGGATGGGGGTATCTCATTGTGCGTCAATAACGGAGCTTCTCCACATCGGGCTAATTGATTGCCGCAAAGGAACTTGAGGCAGACCTGTGATGCCAAAGGATATGATCATGATCTCAGTGACTTCTCAGCTGTGAAAGTTGGTGTGAGCGAAATAAGATTCAAGCTAATTAGGAAGTACATCGGCACTTGACCGCTGAGTTCCAAAAAGAGTGGAGAAGCGAATGCTATTCGCTTTTCCACTCTTTTTCTCACAACTTAGTTTCCTCCTCCTTTATGCAATCCTTTGGGTTAGACCGGATGATTTGGAATAGAAAGAGGCTAGGTTATCGATTCGTGAATGGGAGCATGAGCTTTCGGGTCTAGGCGCAGAGCGAAGGACGTTCAATGCAAATCATTACCACAACTACAACTACAACACTATTCAAGTCAACGCACGCGAGCCATTCGACCTATTGAAAGAAATTTGTAAATAAAAATAAAAAGAAGGATCAACTGCTTCACGCTACGCAAGTTGTGCAAGCCCGACTCGAACGACATCTGAAGCTGAGGGAGAGGATCGGATCAGGGAGGCCACCAGCTGAGATCTGACGAGCCGTACCCAGAGCGGCTTGGATTAGCGAGACCGACTGAAGTACCTAGGACGCTTGGGTAGGTTAGTAAAGTTGAACAGGGAGAATAGCGTTGTAGACGCACAGATTGATGCATGAGCAAGGAAACCACTGCATTGATTACAAGATCAGTGTTCAAGTAAGTCGCGACGAAAAATGCCGATGAGGTCGGATTACGGATTTGCGGGGGAACACTGAGTGCCACGCATCTTCCGGCAACGAACCTCGTCACGGAACAAGGTCGGAAAGCGTGCGCGCTGAGGATGTGCAAGCAGCTTGGCTAAGAGAACGCTATTATCTGAATGTTAGATGGTATCTGAGAAGCGGATGGTAACGTTTGGCTTACCAAACCGAGCGAAGTAAGAACTACCACCTGCATATCAGCTGCATAGCCCAAAACGGTTCGGCACATGACAGCAACGTGCATATATGCGCCTCGTGAGAGTCTCGTTCTCTCATGCGACGTGTGAACGAGATGTTTGAGCTGGCAGGAAGGGAGGACGGAGGTGTCCGCGCGGTCTGGCCATCCACCGTGGGTCAGATAGGGTGGTACTGCGGGCGAGCTTTTCGAGTGGTCTGCGGATCGCGAGTGGGCGGCAAGCTGTGGAGCGCAGTAGCCTTCTCGTAGTCCTCCGTCTCGGCATGTTGAAACTCGGTGCAGTGAGGTGCTGAAAGGAGGAATAGGGTTGATCACCTGCTGGCCATACGTGGCACACAGTGGTTATGACGAGGTGTTGATTAAACGAAAACTCAAAGCCAACACGCAAGGGGCTGATGGGACGAGAGTCGTACTTCGAAGTTGTCGTTCAGTGATATGTTGAGGGAGTTATTCATCTTGCTATAACGAGGTGATGTCTGGATTGGGCGGTGTGGTGTGGCGCGCGCTACGCGAGTGGCCATCGGATTCACGAGGTTGATGCGTGTTGAGACCAAGATGCGATTGGTTCTGAAGGGGTTCTGGAAAGACCTTTCGTAGCGAAAGGTCAAAAGGTCGTCCGTTTCAGAAGTACAGGGTATATGCAGAGTTCAGACGACGAGCACAAGCAACCGGACGACGACGAGGCCTGTTCTGCCACCGTCGGCCAGCGACGACGCGGTGTTGCCAAGCAAATTGGTTTTGTGTGGCGCAAACCCGGGGAGAGGGGCCACCTGTATCCAAGACACGAGTACTGCCAAAGCCCCACAAGTTGGGAACGTCAAGAAGCATTTGGACGCTCGGGCCTATTTGGGGCCATCATTCATCAAGACGTGTCCAATAGAGGGAAAATGTCATCCCATCCTTTATCTTATCTTTATTTCGAGTATTTTTATCCCCCCAACTGTTTTTGTCAACCTACTTGTCGTTGGGAATGAGGGAAGGTACTCCCTCAAATTGGATTTTTATACAGTCACGAGCGTACACCCTAATTGATTAGACTACTAGGGCGTTGATGGCTTTTTCCGGCGCGTCTTTCATTCGTCCCCCAAACACGTTTCCATCAGCCTATTCAGTAACCCCCCTTGGCACTAATTGGTGGGAAAAACCCGCGCCGTCCGACGAGAACCGGCGCCGTATACCGCACACCTCTCCTCATCTTCTTTTCTCACTCTTGTCCACAACTCTTTCTCATCCCTCGGATCTCAGTTGATCAAAATTTGGAGAAGATCCAGCTTCATTCACCCAACTCGGTCATCCTCTCGTCGAACGGCTCGAGTTCCGGATGTGACACCGAGCGACCAACCACCTCGTTTTGGCGGTGATCATGGCATGCTCAACGACTGCAACTTTGCAAAGAGCCGAAGATTAGAAGAGGAACCGAGCCCCAGATATCCCCAGTATCCGATAGCCTGATGGATTCTCGGAGAGTATCGGGTTAGATGATGAAGCATGGGCTGCGTGCGCTTGGCGACACCCTGGTCGGGCAAGGAGAACTCCTCCCTTAACGGCTACTTTGGGACTATCAATCTATCGGATTGATAGTCCCAAAGTATAGCAAGTGTAAGACTTATCCTTTGCACGAGAGTCAAAGACGCTGAAACCTGTTTTCCCCTTGTGGTAGTAGGTTGCCCGGAATGGTCGTTAGCACAGCGGGCATGTCGCTCATGCCGTCCGGAAGCCTGAATGCCGTCATCAACAACTGCAATCGGCGGTGCCCTCCCGAAGAGAACGTCTCCATCTGCAGCATCAGACCTGTCAACTCCAAGACATATTGTCCTATCGAGCGATCGAGCAGAACAGAGCAACGAGGGTGCGTCCAACATCCAGCCAGCAGAACCCAATCAGACACTAACATTGCTCCCAGCTCGTGCTTTCAAAAGCGCCGAGGGTCAACCAAAGGCCAGTCCCTCACCGAAAGCTCCTCGTCAGCGGTTTCCGAATGTGAGCAGGGAGGATCGCACCTTCGGAGGGTATTCACCGAGCGCCAGCAACTTGAGAAGGTGCGAGATCCTTGCATTCGCTTCCTTGCGCGACGTGCTGATTCTCTACAGGATAGAATTACTTTCTTGCAAGTCTCGGTTCAGCTCGGAGCTGGTGTCGGCCTTTCCAGCCCGTTATTTCGCTCTGCAGGGATAATCATTGTTTAGTGTTCAGGCGTTGTCCAATATCGTGTTCCCATCGCACACAGCCCCTATTACGTACCCAACATGACCTCGTGAAGTCGACCAACATCAATTTCCATCCCACCGCTGGCGCTTTTATCAGGGATAGAAGTTCCGAATCCCGCGAATATGCAAAAGCAGAAAATTCTCCCCGGATCTCGGCGTGCTCGACTTGTCAAGGGTTCGTCTTCTGATCAACTCCATCTTTATCCCGAAGACCTCAAAGAGTTCTTCATAGGATTTCAATGCACCGCTTCATCTTCTACGTCACCCCTGCGGCATGCCGGTTTTCGTTATTTAAACAAGTTCCCTATTCTACCAAATCTTCGATGTCAACTTGTGCTTGTCACACGATTCGTGTATTTTGCCCCCTTCCTTCCAGAGTCGAGAGCATGCCGTGTTCGCGAGCGAACTGCTCTTCCAGCGCCGGCAGGAACTCTCCCATATTCGCTGTTGGCTGTTCGCTTCCCCCTCTGATAATGACCGCCCCTGGGCCGGACCGGCCCGCTTCTTTGGCCGTTTTCGTTCTTCGGGAGTTGTTGGCATGTTGCCCAGTTCGACCTCTTTCCCATCACTTCCCTGCGCCTGCCTAGAACGATCTGCGACATTATTGACTGTGCGTTGCAATTTCGACAACTCACCCCATCGCTCTCTGTTAATCATGCTGTCCCACGCTGCGGCACAGTCGGCTCACCGCTCGTACTGGCTGACGTCGCCAGATGATGGGGGATTCCCATCTTCGCACAAGGGCACACAAGGTTGCCCTAGCCGCCCGGTTTGGGCTTCTTCCCCGATTACTTGGTTTGTTTGAATACAGTATCAGGTGTTAATCTCAATCTAGAAGGGGCTCATGATGGGTTGTCGTCACGTAAGCCTTCTCTTCAGGGCAGATGAACAAAGAGGGTCATTGTCGGCCCTAGCGTCGTAAACTCCCCCACCGCTGCCTGCAATCGGAATCCCCGTTGGGACACTCTTGAATCAGGAGATTGCCCCCGTTGCCCACGGGAGTGCTTATTTCCCAATACGGACAGAGCGCCTGCGTGTGGCTAAAGGTGAAGAAGTGCAGCGGAGGCATTTCACGCATCACATTCACTGATTTGCGAGTCTAAGCACCCCATACCCGTACCATGACAGGGCCGGGCAAGCAGGGGTGGCAAGCATGCGTTTCTAGCTAAGGGGTCACTTACTCATGTACAGGTCGGCACGTACAGCCGGTCTTTTGTGCATATTGAGCAGCTTGATGGCAGTGGGCATTGCTAACCTCTCTTCTTCACTCTCTCCTGGTTACGAGAGAAGTCTGGGAACGATTGAGGACGCGATTGGTCCCCAGCTACGTACGGCGTCTGCTCTATCCCAAACATTTCAGCCAAGAACGACTCGGAGGGCAGTGACATCACTCACTTCGACTGCGGTCGAACTCCTATCTCTCACCCTCCGATCCCCCATCCAGGCATTCTCCTAGATCGGAAAGGGCAAGGCGAGGTAACGCGCTGCAGTGCATTGGGAGAGCAGGCACGCACGGACAAGCTTTGGGCGCCACATAGGGTTTTATTTGACAGTCACGGGCTCTGAGGCAGCTGTTCGGCCTTGTGGCTACCGGCACACACGGTCCTTGTCTGTCCGCCGAGCGCCAAATCAGCCTTTTCACTCTTTGCTCAACTGTTCCGCGAATCCTAGAGCAGACTGGACTATAGACAACATACCCCCCAGCAACGTGTTCTACTGTCTGACATCGCTTTTCTCTGCGTCTCCCGGACACGCCGTGACGTGACGCGGAACAGGAGGTCGCGGACACACGGGTGGCAGCAGCTTGTCTCACCCTCTTTGCTCTGCTTGCGAATCACATCCAGTCAGGTCAAATCACACGCCCAGGGCCCCATATCCGCTCCTCGAGTGAGCCCAACCTACCGGCATTATCATCAGCGACAGCATCAGGGCGTTCAAGAGGGCATCATCATTCTTGTCAGCCCTTTGCATCAGAGATCACGCTCAGTGTGGTGATCGGCTCACCTGGACCTCACGAGCACGCGACACACGCCGATCACTCTTACTTTCACCAAAGCCCATTCCGGGTCAGTGGCACCATCAGATTCAGCGCCTTTCTCTAGCTGCACAACAGGACAAAGGCGAGAGAAACAGTCCATTCTTCTGTCGCAGGCTACTAGTGCTTGTCTGGTGTCGGTCGGGTCATCGCTTTGGTCAGCAACTCCCAAGGTTCAAATCATCCTGGGCAACGCCCCTCTCCAGGAAATCACGATTTCACTTCACTTCACCCGCACCGCAACCCCCAACGCGCTCTGGCAAAGCCTAACGTGAACAGCCTGTCACTCCCGAACAAAGCCCACTAGCGCCCCCTTGCTTCCCTCCCATCAGCAGCAGTCGGCTTAGGCAGCTCAGCTGACAAGTCTGTCTCCCATCTTCCCTCCGAGCGAAAGCACTCAGAAGACGATCCCAACATCCTACAACGAGCGAAAGGAAGCACGAAGATCCACTGCGGTCTGCTCGGTACACAACGACAGTGCGACGTCACCCCACCTCGCGGTCGTGACGCCGATACCAATACGGGCGAGCAGCCATCGCACAATCGCATCAACGCACCACCGTACGAGCGATATATACCACCTGCCCCCCTGCATCTCCTCCGCACACTAGAGCTTGCTCGCATTCAGCCCCTCCATACATACTCCGCAACCCCAACAATCCACTGCGCATACTCGCCGATGGAAGACTTTGCCAACGACATCATGGCCGGGCAGACAATGCAAAATCATCTTTGGCAGGAGCACCCCTCCTCGCCAGACGGTGATTTTGCATGGTCCGGGGAGGAACCACTTGCTCACCAGCCAGCTTTCATGGAAGAGCATGCACCGGACAAGTACTTCCCTCCGTCTGACGCCTTCCTCTTTTCACAATACGGACACAACCAGCCTCAGCCTCAGTACCAGCACCAACCGCACTTCCCACTGCACCCACCACAGCTCCGCGTCGAGCTTCCGCACCTGACGGCAGGGCACCCCGTGCCGCTCCTCACTCCTGCATCTACCCACGCCTCCTCCCCGCGGTCGGCGATGTCCACTGGTCCAGTGATGCCCTTCGCGATGCCTGGCATGCCCGCGCTCTCACCCGCCGCATCGCCGAGCACGAGCAGCAGCCTTGAGCCGGGTCCCTCGATGGCGTCTATGCCGCCTCGTGTCCCCGCGTTGCCTCCTACCATGCTTGCCGTCCACCCCGAAGGTGCGGCTTACAATCCGTTCAATCCTGCCCCATATCATGCTGTTGGTTTAAGCAACAGCGTGTTCGAGAACACGCTGTTCATCAAGCCAAGTCTGCCTTGTGGGAGACAGCGGATTGAACAAGCATGCGACAAGTGCAGGGAACGCAAAGCCAGAGTAACTCGCCTTCTTTCTTCATCTTGATATCGCTGACCAATGGTTCTGTAGTGCAACGGCGGCCGACCCACCTGCGCCCGGTGTCAGCAGCGCGGCTACGAATGTACCTACGCACCAGAACGACGCATGCGCGGGCCAAACAAGGTGAAGAAGCCGCCTTCGAAGGGCATCCAGCCCCGCTCGTCCGTCACGTCCCTCAGCGGATCCACGAGTTCTCGCAAGGGCGATGTTTCCCCAGGACCGAGCAACGGTACGCCCAGCCCCACTGAGGAGTTCTTCCCTGCTGCGAGTGGCCAGTCCACGTCTGCCGGTCTTCCCCCTACTGTTCCTGCGCGCATATCGTCCTTGAGTGGGTGGGACCAGTGTGCACCCAGCCGTGGTGAGATCGACACGTCGCCGCGCGTGAGCAACGTCACGCCCAGCCCGACGGAGCAGACGTTCGGTGCTGCCAACACCCAGCCGGTCCCTGCCGTAGGTCCTGTTTCCCCGGCGCTCGCCTTCACGTCTTCCTTGAGCGGGTGGGACAAGAACGCCCCGCGCAAGAGGACAAGCACGGGTGACGTGGCCTCTGCTGGGATCCGAACGCCGGTCGACGCCTCCCTCTCTAAAGCAGGATCCCCTCTGCCGCCGACGATAGCGAGGCCAGCGATGAGCAGATCATCTTCGGGCACTGGAATGCACGAGCGCTCGCACTCGACGAGCAGTGTCGACCTGAGCCACACCAATGCCGGACCGACCAAGCCGAGGTTGTCCGTCGAGGCGCCTCCTGATCCGGAGCTCGTGAATCACGGCGTCTTCCATCCAGGGAGAAACGGACAGCCAGTCATGGGCCTCGGCGTGGGAGTACCGACGTTCCCCCAGTCGTCGTACAACGGATATATGCACTACGTCCCGCCTCCTCACCAGCAGTATCATCAGCACACGCAGCAACAGCAGGAAGCACAGTACTTGCCTGGGATTCCCCTCCCGCGTGTGCACCACCCCCAGCCTCAGATAGTGAACGCGATATACCATGATGACGGCCAATACGTCCCGAACACGCTTCCCTTCCACGCTGGTTCTGACATGGCAGTCATGGCCGATCCCATCGACGTTGGTCTGGGGAACGGTGACTTCCGGCCATTCACAGGGGGAGGGTATAGAGTGCCTGAGCAGTTTGGGCACAAAGGCGAAGTGCTGAGCCCCGCACATTTGGCGTATATGTCCCATCTCGCCACAGAAGGATTCAGGGGTCATTCAAGGTGAGTGCTGACTCGGTCTGTGCGGTTCCGGCCCGATTTTGTTCGACACCTTCTCCCATTGTCTGGTGAACAAACAGCGGCGCAACGTGCGTCGCAAAGACGTCAGTCTTCAATTTGTTTGCACCTTGTGATCGCCCCTCTGTGGCCATTCTCCGCCTTTCGTCGTGGCACCTTGCGGTCGTGATCGTAATTCGCTCAGCAGCTGACCCAATCGTACCCTAGGACGTCATCATCAGGCACATCCGCGCTGTCTTCCTCCCCGGCTGGGTCCCTTCCCGGTTTACCGCCACATGCCCTTTCAGGTCTATCGGGTTTCCACCACCCCACCTTCCCCACGGATGCCCGGCTGGATAGCGGCAATACCGGGTTAACACCCACTGATACGTCTGGCTCGGTGTCCGGCTCGAGCGACCAAGGGCACGTTGGGCTCAACCCTGGTTCCACCATACCTGTACTGGGACTAGGCATGTCGCCGCCCGAAGATATGGGCACCGTCCCGCTTACCACTCTGCCTGACATGCACGCATATGGATACGCACCGATCACCCCGCCCGACAGTGGAGATGCAGCTTCCCTTCCTCCACCGGGGCCTGAGATGGGAATCTCGCCGAGAAGAACGCTGGGCGTGAGCATGCAGCAGTTTGGGTATTAGGCCGCGCATGGGGACGATCACTCGGCAAATGAATGGGGATTCTGGGGAAGGGGAAGGACTAGGAATCGCCGCGAAAGAAGAACCGCAAGGAGGAAGGATATCTTGTCATGCAGCATGCAACATCTCACTCGATCTTGTCTACCAGCCCTGTACAAAACAATACAACATCACCGGCGGGAAACGCTCGCCCAACCTCAAAATTGCTCATACAGCTCGCATTGTACACTCAGGACTATTACCCGGCTTCTTGGCCCGCAATTGTTGTGTTTGCTTCATTCTGACCAGCCCCCACTTTTTCACCACTGCTCACCGAATCGTACATATATTCATCACACGTTCACTCTCCTTACAGGTTCTAAATGTTTTACTGATTCTATCTCTGGCGTTGACATACATTGTTTCTCGCGCACTAACCTTCCGATAGTTTACTAGCTGTCCTCCGAATGGCGTTTCTATATGAATAATCCTTGTACTCTATACGCAGTACATGTGTAACAATGCATTTTCCTGTCTACGCTACACTGGGCCAAAGGCTACATGCTCGTTCACTCGACTGGTTACAGTATCTCAAAGGAATGTAAGTAAGATGCCAAGTCCTTGGCTGTGCAAGTAAAAAATCAACACAATGGGACAGGAACGAGTACCATCCTTTGCGGTGCTTGGATTCCATCGTATGTCAAAGACAATGCACAAGCACTACAGAAGCGTCTCGCCTGTAAACTCTCGTCAGCATGGCCTTGTTCTCTAACGCGACCCAGAGCATGAAAGTGTGTTCCTACCAAGAGAGGCACGCGTCAGGGAGCAGCCGATCGCGACCGTTTGCTCCACTGACATCTTGTCATGTATGTTGGGCAATGACGGATTCACTTCCTGTTGAAATCGATTACGTCAGTAAACGTATGCCATGATGTACAGGTGGGATGATGAGTGCCAAGGGCAGAATTGAAGCGCTGAAATATGAGAATGCGACGAATATCCACACACATTGCGAACGACAACTACGACGCAATGCATGTGGCAAACCGGCATCGAAAGGCAACGAAAAGCGCTTGGCGGTCTGGAAGAACAGAGACGTACCATGATATCCAGACCGACGAGCAATCCGGTCTCACAAATTGCTTCGCAGATATAATGGCCCTCTCGGAAGGTGAGTCCACCACGAACCTGTCAAATGACAATGATCAGGTGCGTCTGGATGTTGCAAGGATCAGAAAGGTACTTACTGGGGTTCCTGTGGAAGGTGCAACAGACGGATCCTGGGAAGCATCAAGGACGACGCCGAATTTGGAATGACGAAGGGCGTACCAAGGCATCCACGTCAAAGGACAAGTGTATTGGCAGGTTGCGTTGAGGGTTAACATGATCCAAGGCCATCTCGACAACCTTTCCGATGCCGTACCTGGTAACAGGATGAGCGTATAGGCCAGCACAGTCAAAGCAGAGCGCACTTGTCAACCTCATGCATGCTGAACGCCTTGATGCCATGGTCTTTGAGGATGGTCTTCTCCGCCTTATCCACATCGCGCAGACCGATATAGACCATTCGCTCCGGTTTGAGCACGGGCCTGAGCCAGTCAAACATGGGCAACTTCGACCCTATACCCAACAGGAAAGACACAGGCATGCCGTGCATGTTTCCGGACTCGGTCGACTCGACCGTGTTGATATCCGCATGGGCATCGCACCAGATGAGGCAGGCGTCGGGGTATGCACTGTCGACGCGTCACTTACGCGCGTCTTGAGCCAAGTTCCGCACGTACCTGAATATCCCCGATACGGTTCCCACAGCCTGTCGGTGTATTAGAAATGGTTCTCCGCGTATGAAGCATTTCGACGCACCAGGCTATGATCCCCACCGAGGGTTAATGGCAGCTCTCCCTTCTTCGCATGCTCCTCAACGGACTTGGATACCGCTTGGCACACCCTGCTGACGAGCTTCGGATTCTTCACGATACCGTGTACGTCCTCGTCTCTGCTCAAGGCGAGCTCTCGCTCCACACCTTCAAAGAGATGATGTCCATCGAATTTGACTTTCCAGCCCAGGTCTTCGATCTGCTCGGCGAGTCCAGCTTGGACGAGATAGATCGGGCCCTGATCGACACCTGCACGCAACTGAGGAAACACACGTGAGATTTACACGTAGTACGCGACGAGATAGGCAGAACGTACCTGGCCACCGCTATAAGAATCCAGCACATATTGTTAGATTTGCGGGGTCTAAGAAATGCCGAAACGTACCGGAAGGGACATCCCACTATCTATATATGCGCATATATTCAGTCAGGTTGCCCTAATATATGAATCAGACTTACCCCGACTGTCTTAGGCTCGCTGAGAAATCGGCTCTTGGTCTCCATCGCCTTAGTAGAAGGAATGGTGTTCGTAAGGAGACGCGACACGGACAGTAAAGAGGGGGTAGTCGTTACTAATGGTCGGACGGAGTGTAGAGTTTGTATGCGTTCAGGCGTCGGTGAGCGGTAGTGGACAAACGGCCGAGCTCGGCGCCCCGGCGATCCCCTGACTACTACGTCACGGGGAGTTCTGCTCCTGTTACGCACCAAAATGTTCATGCTGAGTGCTGGAAAGTAGAGGGAGACGAAGATAATATTACGAGCATTAGTGGTCTGCGCTGGTGCTTACAGCTGGCATAAGTGGCTTGATAATCTCCACACGTGCGAGGACAATTGGCTGGCGGGCGCTTACCTCCACAGCCCAACATCAGGCATCGCATTCTTTCCTTATGTGAAGTTCGGCACTTGTCCTTATCGCTGCGAGCTGCATAGCGATCATCCTATGCTTCGAATGTCAAGGGAAATCATACAACGGGAACATGATCGCATTATAATCGCACTCATGCGGCCTAATCACCCGTCTAGGTCACATCTGCAAATCGGGTCTATTGTTAGTCGCCCTAAACCTTGAGATCCGCCTGATCACTGCAAACGGCAGTGATGCTATAGCTCGGCGTACTACGGATATGTAGCCGATCGTTTCACTCCTCAGCTCGGGGACCATTCAGACGGTCCACAAGATCGGGGAAGCGGGGCACAACGCGTATAGAGAACGGCACCGGTTCCACGGTAACGCCTTTGTCGTGAAAGCCAAGTTCAGCGGGAGCGACTTCTTCTTCGCCGTCAGGACCAACGGGTTTTCTAAAATCAAATGCCCAGAGCAAATAGGCAAAGGTGATCCAAAGCGAGTTAGTCGCAAAGTCCTTCCCCAGACAGATGCGGCGCCCATGTCCAAAACAGAGGTAGTCGTCCTTGGAGTCTCGCTTTGGCTGCTTTATATGACCATTCTCGTCGATGAAGCGGGAAGGATCAAAGCGATCGCCATTTGTGTAGAGCTCAGGATCCCGAGCAATTGCACTGCATGTATAAATATGATCTCCGTCTGCGGCATGGATGGTAGCTTACTAGATATTCGCGAGGATAATGGCGCCTTTCGGAATCACATAACCTGAATACTCGAATTCCTGCATGTCTCTTTAGGCCTCGCCGCAGACACAAAAAACTAACGATACCTCGCTTGATGCATGTGCAACGCTGAGCGGTCCCGGCGGCCTCCAACCAACACTTCTTTCACCATCGCCTCTATTTGGGGAAGGCTATGGTAGTCAGCAAATGATGGCGGTCTGTCTGCCACAACTTGTGCAAGTTGTTGGCGAGCTGCAGAGGCTGTTTCGGGGTACAGCAACATTGCACAAAAGAACCAGAGTAATGCGCAGGCTGTCTGTCAGATCATTCGAAGTTAGATGATGGATCCCGGGTCCGGGCTTGTTGCGCACCGTGTCCTCGGCGGCGAAGCTGGCAAAATGGAAGTTAGCTTCGGCGATGAGGCGATCAATTTTCTGTGCATACAAGAGCGAGCCCATCATCCATGCACCGCTCAGCGGATCTAGGCTACTCAGCTCCATAGTTTTCAATATACCGCTAGCGGAGGTATGTCCTGACGTCTTCTCGGCGTCAGCTTATTATATAGACATGTATGCGCTGTGGCTCACCTCCTCATCTGAGTAAGCGTTCTGGAAACATGATGACAGCTCCTCAAACCAACGGTCGGCATGCCTGTGTGTGTCAGTCCGGGAGCACCACTGCGGCGTCAAGATCATACCTTCTTAAAAATGGAAATTGCTGGATAACTGGTTTCAGGATAGGACAGATGTCTACTAACGAACCACCGGGAAGCATCGCTCGCGTCATCTCACCCGCAAGTTCTTCAATGCGATGTGTTGGATCGGACCCGTGCAACAGGATGGCCTGTTGCCCAAAAAGACATCGCCAAGCAATAGAAGCTGCGACGCGATGGACATGGCGAGAGAGGGTAATATCAGGACAATCCAATAAGCCTTCAACTAGCAGCCTCGTTTCTTCGATAAGCACTTTGGAGTAGTCCTTGATAGCAGCCTCGCTCAAGCTTGGCATATTCCGGTCAACAACTTTCTACCGCGGTAAATTCCCATAGTCACCTTTCATGTGCGGCCCGCCGCATGACCCGCCATCTACAATACATGCGGATGTCAATTCTTGATGCTGAGGCCAGAGCTGGAGCCTGATACCTTTCGCTCCTTGGCAGAAACGAGAATTCCATGTTCCTGCACAGAAATTCACTAGCTTTGATCAATGATGGACGGTCCGATGTTTTCGTGGACAGACGATCAAGAACATCGCCTGCGGTTTTGGCCGTGTTGAGAACCACAACTGTTTGTCCCATCACGTGGTACGAAAAGATATCCCCTGTAAGGAGTAATGCATCATTGAAAGGCTATGGACAAAACAAACACACCGTATTGTCGGCCCCATTCGCAGATTTTTATGAACAGAAGTCGCGTTGGTGTTTGGAGCAGGTTTCCCAAGATAGGAATGCCTTTGGGACCGGGTAAATGGTTTGTCGCTTGTCGACGGCACGTTGGCAACCAGCAGAGCGCGACGACGAGGCCTGCGAGCATTGCAAATGAGAGTGATAGCACTTCCCCCATAGTTCCTTGGTCAAGGCGACGGCGGGTTGGCGGTACAGAGCAAGGAGTTTGATGTCGAAGTCATAGTATATAAGCCCGCTGCATCGAGTTGGTTTGCCCTCATGGAGGTGTGGAACTGTTCAGCCGACACAGTGGAGCAGTCATCACCAGACCAGATGACCCTAATTCAAGGTCATTCTTGATCTGAGAAGAGTGTTCAGGTGTCCTTGAACGACGATGATGACCCAGAATAAGGAATCTCTATATCTAGATATCTGTAGGACCATCAGTGTAAGGATATCGGCCCGACTTATGCGGGCTGATCTCTTATAGTCATGCTGCCCTAAGAAGGTTATAGATTCGTGGACCAGCCACGTCGCAGGTTCTCCCTACGTTATTTCCACTCCTGAACCGCAGCATACCGATTCATTGGTTCTGCCTGCGTTATACAGGTTAATTCGGAGGAGCCCCTGATCAGGAGCTAAGCGGAATACAGTAGAGACAAATCACAGTTCAGTTCAAGGAACGTGCGAATCCAATTGACGGAGAATGAGATGCTTGATGCATCTGTGACCAGCCCCAAAAGTCGATTTGGTCCTGGTGAGGCGTACAGAAGAAACCTGGTTGTCCGGGAAGAGAAAGCGAACGCGGCAGAATATGCGACATGACGTAACCACATTCCATCCATCGGCCCGATCCTCCGGAACGCATACCAGGCCAGAAAAAGTACAGCCAACCACTTCAATTGATACTTCACAGACGAAAAAGCACTCATCGCTGCACTGCACTGGACAAGCACTGTGGTGCTCTCGTCAATCGACTTGGCTCGTCTATGGACGTACAACAACATACTCTCGAGATCCATCCATTACTACCAAGAAAAGTCCGTACACGCATCTCTAACCGTATGAAGGTGAAAACGAGCAAATTGATCGGAAACAAGTATGCAAACGTCGAGACAAGCAGACGCGCGCCTGTTCTAGATAATGGAGTAGCCACCATCGACAACAAGCTCGGATCCGGTGGTGAATTTGCTCGCATCACTAGCGAGGTATACGATGGCGCCCTTGAGGTCCTCCGGATCGCCCACGCGACCCATAGGCGTCTTCTCCGCCCAGCTCTCGAGCATGCCCACGTGCGGAGCAACAACTGCCTTGGTCAGAGCGGTAAGCATGTAGCCCGGAGAGAGGGAGTTTACGCGGACGCCCTTCTGCGCCCACTCGACAGCAAGCGAGGCGGCCATGTGCTTCACGGCAGCCTTGGAAGAGTTGTACGGCATTTGAGGCTGCGGATAATTGACGATCTGTTGCGCCGAGCCGAGCAGCGAAGAAGGCAGATGATGTCAGTGACGGAAATATTTAGAAGATATGGGGAACGGCTCACGTTAGCAGACATGGAGGCGATGAGGACGATGCTGCCCTGAATGTTCTTCTCAATCATATGCTTCGCTGCTTCCCTCGCGCAAAAGAAGACACCGTGAACGTTGATATCGAACAATTTGCGCATGCGCTCGGCGGGGTACTCGAGTGCCGGATAGTTCTCGACGATCCCTGCATTGGCTACCACCGCGTGAACGGCACCGAACTTCTGGACAATGGTGTTGAAGGCAGCCTGGACCGCAGCTTCGTTCGCCACGTCGCATCCTAGGCCAATGCACTCGATCTCGCCCTTCTCGACTTGACCCTGACTCTCTGCACCACATGAGTCAGCATATTGGGGAGGGAAAAGTGAGGAGCGGACCGAAATCAGAGACAAGCTGAGCTGCAGCCTTATCAGCATCTTCCTGCCTCAGATCAATAATAGCCACTTTGGAACAGCCCGATTCGACGAATGTGCGAGCAAACATGTTCCCGAGGCCGCGAGCGGCACCGGTGACGACGCAGACCTGGCGACCCTTGTCAGAATAGGGGGAATTCAAACCCAAGGAAGCGGCGCACCTTGCCCTCCATGGAGAAGCTCTTCAGTGTGCGATGGGTCCTACTGCCCTGATCGTGCCTTGTCTCATGACCGGGGATATCGAGCTTGTCGCCGGGGTAAGGGACAGTGACGCTCTCGTCGATCGTCGCGTGCTTGGGCGGGGGGTGCTTGGGCGCGTTCGCAGTGGTAGACATGGTGAAGGTGCGTATAGAGAGGGCGAGGGAAAAGCAAGATGTACGAGTAAGGGTGTAGCGGGGGAGACGACGAGCAAGAGTACGTGCGCTGAACATGAGACCAGGGGACTCGGCGACGCTTATGTACGGGGATGAGTTTCTCCGCGGAGGTTGAGCGTGCGGACCTGCCGGTTTCTGGCGGCTCTGGGGTGCTTCGAAGAATGTGGAGAGGACTCTTCGGCTTCGGGGCAGTTTGGAGCTGGCATCGCGGTCATGAGGGGCTCACAAGCACGCTCTCTCCAACACTCACTCTCTTCAGGGTCCACAACGTCGGCAGCCGGGGAGGAGGACAGGCCGGTTTGGCAATGTGTGAGGAAGGGGGGATGGAAGGGGCGGTAAAAGCTGCGGACTCGAAATTCAGTAGTCCAATTGCGGAGAAATTCAGGAACAATGCAAGATATCCGATGCAAGATTCGGGCAAGTCCTCGCACCGCTGCTCGACGGCGTGGGTGAGAATGGAGGGTCAGGGCTTCCTCGACCCCTCCATCCCCCCAGCCCTGAGTATTATATCCCCCCCAGTCCCTTTGTTGATCATGCTTACCTTCAATCGATTATCATGTGGCATACGGGCCGTGTTCGTCTGACCTTCCGTCAGGGCAAGGTTCGGCGGCAGTGCCGGGATATCGGCGCGAGTTTGTTTAGGGTGGGCCTCCAGCACAACCAGCACCGACGGCTGTGTTATGGAATGCACATCTTCCACAAGAACTAGAAGCGAACAGAACTAGGGACAAGATGGTGAATCAAGTCCTGGAAATTGCCTTGTGCTTTGTTCGTTGGAGCGATGGAGCTCGGAGAAACTGGTCGGCTTGGCATTCGTACATCCAAGCCGATCGGCAACCTTTCGCATCGTTGTCGTTCAGATCGTTTGAACACCCGCTTAATCGCCCAAAGCGATTCCAGATAGATGAAGATAAAAATTGTAGTGTGCAGTCGAGACATGTGAAGCAGCAAAATGCGGGGAAGAGCTTGTTCGGACCGAAGACGAGCCGAAGGAAGCCTGGGCCCTTACACAATTCGAAGCTAATAATACAGTAGCCTATCCTCGATTCGGATCTTGGGGAAATGCTCATTTGGCGTAGTCGTTATTGAATTCCCTGCCGATGAGCATGCGCCGAATTTCTTGCTGCAAAGATAGGTAAGAGCTCATTAGTTACGATCAAGTAGATATGAGAAGCAAAGACACTCACCGTTCCCGCACCAACACAGTACAGCCGTGCATCCCGAAGGAAACGACCAGTAGGATAATCTGTTTTCTTATGAGCGCTATGCCACAAACCCATGATCTCGCTTCAAGTTACCATTGATGTACCCATTTCCACCCAGACACTGCATTGCCTCCATCGCAACTTCCACCGCCCGATCACTGGAATATAAGATCGCGCCTGCACAGTCGCGCCTGCTTATGTTGCCCGCATCGCATGCACGCGCCACGGCATACACGTAGGAACGTGCCGCGGAGAGCTTGGTATACATATCTGCGACCTTGCCCTGCATGAGCTGGAAAGTGCCGATGGGTTGGCCGAACTGTTTGCGTTCGTGGACGTACTAAAGAGGGAATAGTTAGTGGATAATGCAGGCCAAGAGAAGTAGTGCACGTACACCTATCGCCACATCGAACGCGGCTTGCATCAGGCTGCGAGGTGATCAAGATTGTTGAGTAAAGAGGGCGGAACAGAACCTGCTAACCCTAACGGTCCACCAGACAGCACAAGGCGTTCTAGGTCCAGGCCACTCATGAGCACTGCTGCGCCTCTATCCAGCTGCCCAAGCACATTCTCTGCAAGCGGAGACAGAAGATGAGCAGATGACTGAGGTACGTGGCAAGCAACGGACCTTCTGGTACCTCACACCCCTGGAACACAAGTTCACAAGTATCGCTACCTCTCATCTGTATTTGAGGATCATGAGCCACAGCATGCAGCGCAACATCAGGACCACGCGCACCCCAAACTTGTCCAATTTTTGATGAGTTGAAAACCCCTTGAAGCCCTTTTCAACGATGAAGGTTGTGATGCCCTTGCTGCCCTTTTCTGGGGATGTCTTCGCATACACCACAACGGTGTCCGCGATGGGGCCGTTTGTGATCCTGTGGCATCGGTTCAGCATATACCCTGCACACATATCCATCCAGATGCCCGACTCACCAAAACTTGTTCCCATCTAGTACCCACCTCCCCTCCTTCTTCACCGCCCTCAGCTTCATACTCACAACGTCGCTCCCCGAACCGGGTTCGCTCATTGCCAACGCGCCGACTTTGGCCCCACTGATCAAATCAGGGAGATACTTTTCTTTCTGCGCAGGGGTACCATGTCGGTTGATCTGGTTGACGCAGAGGTTGGAGTGGGCTCCGTACGAGAGAGCAACACTGCCTGATGCACGGGAGAGCTCTGTGATACCGAGATCAGCAAAGTTCGAACCACGAATAAGGGCGCACCTTCCATGACGAGCACATGCATCATATACCCCACTTCGCTACCACCATACTCAGCGCCTGCAGTAATCCCCAACAATCCCATTTTGCCCATCTTCCGCCATATGTCTCGCGGTGCGGTGTTCGTCCGATCTATCTCGGCAGCCAGTGGCGTAAGCTCCTTTTCAGCAAAGGCGTGGACGGCATCCCTGAACTAATACAAGTACAAATTCATGAGTGACATATGGATGCCGTGAGGAAGACGTACTTCGCGTTGCTCGTCGGTGAGGCCGGCGAGGTCGACGTTGTAGGTGGACACTGCACGAGTGCGCGCAGCTGCCACCAAAGGCACGTTTCTGCGCGCCCCGTGCATCACTGGTCGCACAGCCCAATGGAACATGACTATGAGTCGCAGGCGCCCGAATTATGAGTCGCGGTAAGGACGGTGCAGCACAGTCGTGTGAGAGGTGAGGAGGAGTTGGGGAGCTCAACTGTTAGCGCCATCCATCACAGCCGGATCTCCTCAGTTTGACGCGTGACGGGCCAACCGTTATGTCTAACAGCCACAATATTCAAAGTACGCACATCTCTTATCTCCACACCGTACTTGCATTCTTTCATAATGTATCTTTTCTTTGTGTCGACTGTGGCTGAATGCACACTGAGTTTGCAGTGGGTTGGCGATCTTGATCCATCCTCTGCATAAAAACCGCACAGGTTCATTAATAGCACGGGGTCCCTATGAGTTCTATGGCAGACCCCCTTGGAGGATACAAAGACGATGCTATGATCTTAGGACCCCTATAGATAGCATCCCCAGTTTTTACGGATGGCCGCCTGTGCTGCGGCACACGCTCCTGTTTCGCCTATCCGAATTCGAACGTGGTTTAACATACAGTCCAACCGGCGATTACACCATTGCCCGAAGCCTTTCATGCAATGTGGTAGTTGAAAATTATATGGGGTGTTTATAAGCAGTGCATAATGCATCTGTCCAGCGACCAATTCTACGTATGTGTGCTTAAGCTTCCAAGCTTGGTTTTCGGGCCCTTCAGGGATGACCATGCCCAATTTTGGAGTGCAAGAGTGCTTTCAGATAATCTGACGGATCCTGCTCTCGCAGTACTTATTGGCTCGGAGAAACATTTCGGTTCTGGTATCACCTGTTGTCATGCGTGCACACTACTAGTACTGTCGCTGAGCCGTGCTTAGTCGCCGGTCCGACTTACGTATAAATACAAACAGCTTCACATACACTAGTGTATGTGAGGCTGTTTGTACTTAGTACTATAATATTGCCGAACACACCGCTTGATGAAGTGGAATACAGAAAGGGTCTGCTCGCCGTTTCATATGATCGGGTAGGTTCTCTATCGACCATCGTCCAGTACTTATACGTATTTCTCGCTATGCAAGATGGACAGTACTAGTAGCTGGCCTCATTTTACCTCTCCCCTCACCATCTATTCTTTGTTCACTGAGGCGCTGGTAGCCTCTTCAAGTTATTCCTTTGCCTTCACTTCAACATGACCTTGATCAGACCTTACTTCTGATATGGATTCTCGCTGGATTGGGGGCTCTGGCAGCGCCGGGCCCCCGCAGGTGCCAATGTCTAAGTGCGCGAAGCTGTTCATTTCACTGTGCATATTCTCACTCTATGATTTCAATACAAGAGGCTTCTAGTGAAGGGAGCTCGGGAAAGTCACGCCCACACCCAAACCCGTTTTGAGACTGACCTTAGGCCTCAGCCTCCGCCCCATGCTAAGCCTAAGACTAGCCCATCCACGCCACCTCAGCAGAACTCCAAACTACCGCTTGATTATTGGAATCACCCTGACTTCGTGCCTTACCAACATCATGTGAACAGCAAGAACAACCCTCCGCGGAAACCTCCCCGGGGACCTCGGGAAAGTCACGCCCACACCCAAACCCGTTTTGAGACTGACCTTAAGCCTCAGCATCCGCCTCAGCCTCCGAAGCAAGAGCCCAAGCCTGGCCCATCCACGCCATCTCAGCAGAACTCCCAAGCAAATTATTGGGAGCATAAAACCTTCCCCCCTACCAAACTGCGAAGGTAGGGCGCATTTCAAGCTTATACGATATAAAGATGAATCAATCTCACATACCGCTAGCGAGGTTTCGTCAAGCGACCCCCCAGAACGGTGGTACACAAGCCATTACGAGTCCCTCTTCAATGAACACATGGACAATGGTAATCTTCACTTTGCAGCACATACGCAGGCCGCCCTGGATGACGAGCACGCCAAATGGGCTCGATTTCATAGGGATACAGATCACCCCACGGTCACAAACAAGTTGCAGGTTGCTGCCGACCAGGCTCACGCGGGCGCGTCGAAATTGTGGGAGCAATACGAAGCAACTGGGAAGAAGGAATATCCGGTCTCCCAAAAGGCAAAGGAGTTGAAGGACGCTATCAACTAGAAACATAGCGAGGAAGGTGGAAATCCACACAAGTTACCTGACTACGGGAATTATCATTGAACGACGTCTGGGTCTTGTACGAGGGTGAGATAGGTATGCCCCTATGCTTCTTGACCCTTGCAAGTCTCATACCTTTCTTCCTCTAGGAATACAGCATCACCGCTACAAGCCCCACAATTTGCATGATCACAGGTTCGGCGTAGTTGCAGCGAGAGCGTACAGCAGGTGGACGGTACTGAATTGTCTTTACATACGTTCAGTTCTGTATGCTCTGGCTAGCAGGGTCAGCTTTTGGCAGATTCAGCCTAATCACAAAGCATCGGTCTGTCCACCTCTCGCAAATTAGTTCCTGCCGGTGACCTGGATCCATACTGAGATGTGGCCTTGTGCAAGAGGGCCATGCGCACGCCGACATGCGGTATTCGAGTGGTCCGAAGCTGGCTGTCAAAGTGTCCCTTTCCTGCCTGCTGCACTCATCATCCGACCTTGCACACTATCTCCTAGCTGCATTTGGGCTATCTGGGATCCAATCCCCGAGGAGGAGCGTCCTTCCACAAAAAGCCGTCCCCCATAAGATCGCATATGCAATGGAAGCGGTGCAACAACTAAACCTTCTGCTTCCCCGTCTCTGCTGCCTCCTGCTGCTCCGCAATACGGGCAAGGACGGCGAGAGGAAGGATTTCTACGACATGAGTCCCAAATTACACCCGACGCCGCCGAAGAGCGGTACATAGGGGAAAGTAAGAAATGCAATGCGCGCCGTTGCATCTGTTTGTTGGTCGGTACATAAACTTTGTATTACCCGCTACCAAAGCAAAGCTACTTCCCGGTGTCCGGTCCGTAGTTTCGACGTGGCTGTTGGGAGCATGTATTGGCCAAATAGCGCTGAAATAGATAAACATTGTCAGGGATTGTGAGATGAGCATTCATATTGTCCAATTTTACGCCTTTTCGAAGCGAAGGTTGTTGATGCGCCCTATCCGACCGTTCGCTTCGACATCTGCTAGATTGCTCTCGAGGTCGATGTCGACTAGGGCTGCTGTCAACAGGCATCTGCCGCCCTCCAAGACGGGCTTCGCATTGAGCAAAGATGTCGTTGCAGCGGCGATCCCGGCGTGCGTTCAACATCTTGACTCGTTGCCATTTCAATGCTGATTGTGATGTATTATCTTCATGCAATACATCCAGCATCCCCGTAGCAAGACAATGGATAGAGGAATACAACATTGGCCCTCTCGCAGCGACGCAGCCATTGATCGACGTCTCCCAAGGTGTGTTGTATCCTCCCACCGCCCTCTTCCCCGCTAATATTGCGCCAGGCGTCCCGGGTATTCCACCGCCTCCATCCCTCCTAGCCGCCCTCGCCCACCATGCCTCCTCCCCACTTTCGGCAAAATACGGCCACATACGAGGCGAGCGCTCGCTCCGTCGCTCCCTACTGGAGCGTATGCAACGCACCTACGGTCCTGGAGCAGATCTAAGAGTAGAAGATCTAGCCATCAGCGCTGGTGCGAACCTTGCGTTCGTGAGCGTCGTGATGAGCGTCTGTGACCCAGGCGAGGAGGTGATCATCCCTGTGCCATGGTACTTCAACCAGGAGCAAGTGCTGATGATGCGTGGCGTTCGACCCGTAGCATTGCGTACGAGGCCCGAGGACGGGTTTGTTCCTCAAGCAAAGGAGGCAGAGAAGCTCGTCACTCAGCGTACTAAGGCTATTGCGCTCGTGTCGCCCAACAACCCAGTATGTCTTCCTTCACTATGAAAGTACTATGAAGTTAACTCCCCTGCAGACAGGTGCCATCTATCCACCTGCTCTGCTAGCGCGCTTCGCCCTCCTCTGTGCACGTCACAACATCGCCCTGATCCTGGACGAAACATACCGAGACTTCTGCCCATCTTCCCCACACGCCCTCTTCTCTCAGTCACTTGTACCCACTCTTTCCGAATCCGACGCATCCGAGCTCCGACAGGAATTGACAAAAGAAGAGATAGAGATAGCATCACGCTGGGACTGGCGGAAGAACCTTATCAGCCTGTACAGCTTCTCGAAGAGCTACGCGGTGCCTGGGCATCGGTTGGGCGCAGTCGTGTGCGGGGCGGAGCTGATGCAGCAAGTTGAGAAGGTGCTGGATTGTCTTCAGGTACGTTCGGTCATAGATGGTCCTGCCTAAAGACCATACAGCAGATCCATGCTAATCCGCTGTAACGTAGATCTGTCCACCTCGCGCCATCCAACTCGCTCTGGCAGAGCAAATCCCGGTGCTTGAGCCATTCGTACAAGAACAAGCCCACACCCTCGCACACCGACATGCGGTGCTCAAGTCCTCTCTTCCTTCATCATGGAAACTCGCGGCCCAAGGCGGATTCTTCGCCTACCTGCGGCACCCCTTCCCTTCCCACTCTTCATACAGCGTCTCTCAGCGACTTGCGCTTGAGCTAGGAGTTGCCACTCTACCGGGGAGATTCTTCCAGCCTGAGGAAGGGGCGGAGTTTTGGGGTAGCCGGGAGAGAGCAAGAGAAGAGGACAGATGGGTGAGAGTTGGGGTGGCCAATGTGGACGAGGACGGTGTGAGAGGGGTCGGAGAGAGGCTCGAGCGGGCGGTGAGCGAGTGGGGTTGGGAAGTGGAGAAGTAACTCTGTAAAGAGCACGTGGAAGTGGTAAAGCCGGAAGAAAGAAAGACAAGAGGATGGATGGTACGAAGGATCTAGATCTTGCAGAATGGAAATTAAACTATCGTTACCAGGATATTCTGCTGGTCGGTCATGGGCCATCGAGTCACGGTCGGACCGTTCAAGGGAGCGAACTAGCACTTGTTGAATATCAATGTTGATTGTACACGATACCTCAAATTTGATGACCAGTCAGTTTGGACACTAGCTCGATGACAAACGAAAAGCTGTCCAGAACGTCGAGGCTGTATAACCGACCCCGTTCTACTTCATTCAGAGGAATCTGAATGAATTAATTAGGACGGGGTCTGTCAAACGCTTGATGAGCACGTTCGTTCGCAACGCATCCCCTTCCTCGCGGTTGGCGACATTCATTCTCCGGCGCGTCGCACATTCTCCTTGCTCCTCAACGATGCACTAACAGGAGGCTTACAGTATATATTATCCTACCCAAGTTTCAATTAGTTTATTACTCGACCCTCAAAACCGTCGTTCGTGTTTTACCAATTGGCAAGATGAAACCGGAGCCGAAAAGTTCCGTTTTCATTTCGATCTGTTACCATCACTACACCTTCGAGTTTTCAAGTCAGTGGAGAACGGTAAGCATCTTTGAGTTATGCTGTCCTCCGCGTATTGAAAGGAGGAAGGCAGACGCGTGGAAGATGCGTTACACCAGCTCCAGTGATAAGTGAAGGGGGTTCATTGTATCGCTAGAGACATCTTCGTTGGATCGGTCACTATGTTTCATTCTCCAATTCCAATTCTCCAGCTTCTCCCTCCCCTTGGCGGATGAAACGTACGCTATATAAGAGGCACGGCTTGATGACGAGCAGGACGCAGCGAGCCGGTCTCATCCCCCTTCAGTCCTTCAGTCCTTCAGTTCACTGTTCTCCGAGGTGCTGGTCACTTCTCAACTCACTCCCCTGTTCTTCAACCATAACGATGCTCTTTTCCAAGATTGTTCTTCTTGCTTGGCTTGTCGCCAGCCAGCTGTGACTCGCGTATCCGGTGCGGCGGTTTGATTCTCGTAGCGAGAATCGGCTGGAGGCAAGAGAGGGTTATGCGATGTTATGCGTGTTGCTTTGTTTGTCATTGAATTCATTCCTCATTCCATACCAGACAAGAAAGGTCTTTAGACTCAATCGATATTCCGGACGATGTACTCCTCCTGTGAGTTTGTCTGTGATTATCAAGATGGTTGTTGTTGACATTGAGGCGTGACCACTCCATAGGCGCTCCACAAATGGGATGGAATGGGATAATGATCTGTACGTGGTTATCATGACAGCTCCGACATGGACATTGACTTTTCCCTCATAGTACAATGCGCGACAAGCCGCTGGCACCATTGAAAGGCACCATGACTCGGATCAAGTCGAATGTCAAAGCCGTGGCTCATAAGATCGCACACCCTGTGGAAACAGTGAAAAACATGAAGAAAGCAGCGTCCGGGCTGAGCATAAAAGTTCTCGGCACACACACACAAACCCTTGCTGCACATGGACCTCCGTCACACGTTGGTGGACAAACGGCCCATTCGACTACGTCGAGCCTTGTTTCGTATACCGGGCATGCATCAACATCCAGCGTTGATTCGCGTTCTTCGGGCATTCGAGCCTCTATGTGCATCCGGGACTTTCATCTACGTCCAGCCTTGATTCGCGTTTTTCAGTTCAGTCGTCTTCTCTAGGGCATTCAAATCCGTCGAGCCTTTCTTTGCATCGGACCAGCCTTGATTCGCATTCTACACCGCCTTCGTCTGCGCCCAGCATTGATTCGCACTCTACAGAGCATTCGTCCACAACGAGCCATGTTACGCAATTGGGATATGACAGTTCATTCTACACATTAGGCAATCCGGACATCAGTCAATAGATTGAGTTAAAATAACATTCTTCTGTACTTCAGATCAAGTGACAAATTAAATAATAACAAAATCACATGGACAAACTAGTCGGGCTTATCAACGGCTGGACCCTTAGGCTGATGCTGACTTTTGCGCATGGAGGTTCCTACTAAGTAAATACATCAGTAAAAACTGCGACCCGCTAGCTACCGCTATGGTGGCTGTGTAGCACGGATCGGACCCTTAGGAGGCCTCCCTTCCTTATAGGGATAAGGGTCTCACCCACTGCTATAATACTGCTATGAAAGAAGGGTAAACACCTACATAGCATAGCAGCAAGGATAAATTGTGTCTCTGGCTTTGGCAATGGTCAGGAATGCAACCACAGTTATCTGGGACCCTGACTACCATTGAACATCATGGCAACACATAGAAAGTTGGTGATATCTCTGCAAAGGTGGCTCACAGCTCATAGGGTCTCATGTTGACGTGACCATTTTTGACACAAGCACATTGGGTCCCAGCTGCTTTTGTGGACCTCCTTGGGAGCCATACTCGACTGGACCCCCCTGTCCAGTAAATGTGGATGCATCAGATATGTGAAGCACATCAAAGATGTATATTTCAAGATAACAACATGAATGTTTCCCTATCAAGAAATGTATTGACAAGGAATGTTTTGCAGGTATCCAGAACCATCTCAGATGTCCATGTCACACTCATAGCTGTACCAGCATCTGCCAACAGCATCAGCATGCAATTGCATTTAATGGCATGTAGATCAATTACACTAGCCAAAGGCCTTCTGCTACCATCCCACATGGGGTGAACAATCTTAAGACCAGAAGAGTGTAATGTTCCCTTCGACATTTCAGTACACCACTCCACATAGGCCATTGGTCCTGTCATTTTTCCTTTGAATAACCCTGCAGCTGCATCATGATAAAGCTGGAATATCAACTTCAGGTGAGCCACTCAATACACTTTATCATTGCAATACATCAGTCAATGAGAACAGCAACAGACTGTCGAGAATACACCCACTCATGATGTTCTTAGCTCCTTTCTTCTCATACACAAGGACCATGTCAAACCTGGCTGGGTGAGCACAAACAAGTTTTTTTTCACCCTGCTCCCTTCTGCAACATGCATGAGCCATGGAAAGATGCAGTTTTTTGTATGCATCAGAATTGTGGAGCTCTCAGTGAGAAGGATTTTCAAAATTAACACAGCCCCAGCCCATCACTTTGGAGAATGCCAGGGGAACCAGATCTGACAGCAGGTCATGAAGCTGTGTTTTTCCCAGAATCCTGTCAGCAAAGTTACATAGAGCCCCAACAAAATCCAAACAGCCCCATTGAGCCAGATCAGTGATGTCTTCTATTCCTAAAGCTGGGAAAGTGGGTTGTTTGGCAAGGATATACTGTGTTACAGGGAAACTGCCACTTTGCAGATTGTGTCGAGAGGTTGCTTGTTTGCTTTGAATATCCAAGTCCTCTGCCACACAACTTGAAGCTCAGTTGACATGTCCATGAAAAACCAAAATATCTCTCTCATGCAGTCATGAATGAACAATATCTTCAAAAGAAAATATCTTCTTGTGCCAGCCAACCCAAATTGCCATTTCTTGGGTTGAGGTCTCTTCATGACCACTGCTCTCACAGAAAGGTATTTTGGCCAGGCTGATATGAAGACGTTCTGTGATCTCAGTTGACCAATTATCTAGCAAGCCGGCTTCAAAGATTGCCCACATATAGTGGACAAGGGCATGCAATTTAGGAATGCAAAAAGAATTTTCTTACTGTCTTCAGTAAAGGTGCCTCCCAGATTTGAAAGTGTTTGCATACCTTGGCCTTGAACTCCAGTTTCTTTAGCTTGGCATCAAATTCCCAGTGAAAGGAAAGAGCTTTTATCTCTATGAAAATCCAGCAGTACTTTGCACAAAAGCACAACTGTACGATCCGAGTGCAGCTCTCCACATGCAAGGTACAAAAACGTAACTAAAGCTTGGCAAGCTCTAATCACTCCTACCCCATCAGATCCCTTCTTTTCCAAAACAGAGGTTCTGCATATTGCTCCAAGTATGACACATGCCATATCTTTGTATTCCTGTCTGGTCATCTGCAAGAGTTTGGAGATTCCACTCTGGAAGCTTCAAGCTCCATGCATTGGTGGGATTGCTTGGAAACAGCAATTGAGCTCCTTGTTTCCCAGAATTTGTTGGAACCAGATAAGTAGATACTTGAACATGCCCTGATGTAGTTGATGCAGAATGTCCAGATACAGCGAACAATGTATTTGGCAATGAGGTAGTCTTGCCCAAAACAGGCATGCCACAGCAGTAAACAATAATGCTTTTGCAACCATCTTTGACAAGTGCAGTCATCCTGATTGGGTATGGGTCCTTGGATTGATTTGAAGCTGAGAAGCAGTCACCTTGACTGATGAGTTCTCCTCATCTTGTGCTGAGTTCAGTACATCTGGATTGCCTGGAGTCAAGGACTTCATTCCCAACAGTCTGTCCAGAGCATGCTCTAAGACCTTCTGGTCCCTTGGGATACAGGGGTTTGCATATACTTCTTCGAGAAGAGGCTCCATGCCTGTGAGCTCAGTACCCATTTTGGGGTAATGTATGTTGCTGATTGGACAATGACAAAATTTGATGCAGCTCAGCATGCACTGTTCTGGGTAATCAGCCATCCAAGCAGCCAATATCAGAAAACATTTTCTCCATTTCCCATCTCCAGCAAGCATAGGGATGCTGAATTCTCCTGCTTTAATCACTTCCTCCATGAGATGCTCCAAACAATGGTGTATCAGTCTATGCCGGGCAATTGTCACATCCTGCTCACTGAGCCCTAAGTTGTTCAGCTTGTTGGTCGGCAGATACCTGAGAAGGATGGTTCCTCATTGAGTAGGGGAGGCATGAATAGACTTTGGAAGATTTCCAACAATTGATACATAGAGGGGATAACCAAACTGATCACCAGTGTGTTGTGTCAATAGCGCCTTATTGCTGCCAAGAATCAATGGGACAATTGTTGCCCCCCAGCAGAAGGTTTCTCTACAATGCCAGTGTGTTACCACATATCCTGTGGATTGGGGTGTTTCCTCCCTTACCTGGGTTCACCACCAATTTCCGGTCCACATTTTGGTCAAGCAACAATACTGGCATTCTTCATCCACAAAATGCTTCTCCAGCACAAAGTGCAAGTCCTGCACAAAG